TCAGGTATACGCATTTACAATCTCCTCATCTATTGATACGCAGATAAGCAAGCCAAACACATACCGGAAACGTAGTAAATAGACTTACCTACTTCGCCGAAGACAGAGACTTCCTCATACATAATATCCCACATCTGTTAACTACGCCAGTGCCTCGGCTTTTTAAAATAGTTACTTGGTCAATTGAATGATTCTGGTATATATAAGATACTCCCGAGTGCTCCTTATGTATTACTCTGGTTTTAATAAGTGTCTAGCACTGCTTTAGTTCTGATGTGCCCTGGCGCTCTTTCGAGTAATAGCACATATAATGAAAATCTACCCCCTCCTTTATGCTTCAACGTCATGGGTGAATCTCCAAGAGTCGTATATTTTTCTGGTAAGCGACATCTAGGAACGGTCTTGAGCTATAAACTTCGCTTGACAGTAAGAACCACCTAGTCGTTTCGAGTATTCATTGGTTTCTATTGAAGATAGTTAAAAAATACTAAGGAGACTGTTTTCCGCATGGTGTATCAATCTTGACTTGATATTCTTGCGATGACTGAAATTTGCTATCACTGCTGGGGTACGATACTATCTAGATAGTGTTTTATTGATGAGAGGGTCTGATAATATACAAGGAGGACCTAAGTTAATCGCCATTCATAGTGCTCACCTAATGTACTAGGGGTTCGTAGGGAGTTTAGTGGGGAGGAGGGTTACTAATATATCCTATATGACTCGATGAAGCATCGTCAGACTATCGTAGTTGATATTGGCGTCATGAGACAGTACGGCTACCCTCACAGAAGAGCCGCTAGATATTAGATCAAGTCTACATTAAGAGGCTTCCCCCCTATCCTTAAAGGGGGCATGAATCAAAACAGTCATCAACACATCAACATACGGAAAGCTAAGTCACTGCATCTCACTCAGTGTCCATGGCCCCCGGTTGTTAGCTCCTTACAATATACCCTACAAGCTAATCGTTAATCCAGGGTCCGCTAAAGTAGGCCTAAGCGATGAGCTTAAGGCCCTTAGATCCATGGAACCTACCTAGACACGGAGGTATGGCTAGTTAGGATAGAATTGTAAGATATAATAAGCGTAGGCACTAATCCGTAGCCTCCGTAGGTTCGCCTTTATAGGTGGCAGCATATGAGTAAGCTCTTTCGTCAGATCAAATATTATTTATACAAGTTGGCTGCCTACCAGAGAAAGGAAATAAATACGTGGTAATTTTGCTTCGAAGCAGGATTCCTAGACTTGGGTTTTCAATTTCCCGATGAATATTATGCGCCTGCCTTAAAAGAGCAGTTAGGATTCATAGCTAGGGGTACCAGTCTATGTTATACCTTGTTCGTTCTCCTCTAGTAAATAGAAGTGTACTTACACTAGGTAGCGGACCATCTTTTCGGAGCATGGTCTCGATTCTAGGGTGATTGAGTGAAAGAAATGTATATGGAAGGCGGAAGCTTGAGGATAGAGATAGAGACCCTAAAAGGAAGCAGGTGAATAATATTTTTACTGTAGTTTCAGTCAATCCGGATAGTTCAATACATACGGCACGATCCGATCACTACCCTTTGACATACATAGCCTAACATCATGCAATGAGCCACAATGGCCCTGAAGTCAATTGTAATTCATCTGCCAACTTGAGCTAGCTAAGTTGCCCTAACACTCAGAGAAAGTCACTAGGTGGTATTTGAATTGCGGATGGCAGCAGTGCGGCTACGTTCAGTGTTGTAGTTCGTACACCTTATTACAGAATATGCTATATGAGTACATCACCAGCTCATCGGACTCATTGTTATTTAATTCAGGATATCCATGATAGGGGCGTTCATATCCTATTTATTGTGACTCACCTTCTGGGACACATGATGTGGAATTCCGGTAACCGAGTAGCCTGCATCCAAACTGCGCATTCGTGGCGACATGTAGCATTATACAGGTTACCATAGCATCTTAAAGACACATATTAGGCCTTTACCCTCTAGTTTAATGGGATTTGCCTCATTAATTATGGCGGTAATGATGCCTTAAAGTGGCGTAGAATGCTTAAGTAGCTCAAAGAGTTCATAGTCTTATATGGACAAGGGATGAAATTCATGTACTTTAGAACCATAGTAATAAACTCATACGCTTCTTCTGACACAGATTCTAACCCCCATTTACAGGACTTGTTAGCCATCTCAGATGTCCCTTCGCATGCCTTGAATAGGATATCATAAGCGTATAGGATAGTTCGTCCCAAGTCCTGTCAAATGTTGGGATGCTCGGTCTTGACTTCTAACTTTGATCGACTCGCCACTAACATGCATCTGGACTGCGAACTTTACGTAGGTCGTTTAGATACGTACTATCGGAACGTTACATATAGGTAGCCTGCTGGTTAACGACATTGCTGCAGGACAATCCTGGTCCCAGCCCTAGGACAAAAATCTTATTTGACAACCCTAGCCGGCTCCCGAGGCTTACGGCAGATCCGAGAAGGAATGGGCGGATCGGTCCCCATCGATTATGTACCTCGATCAAGGTGTGGTTGCCCTATGGAGATCTAGATGATTATTTGTTATACGATTTCAATAATACTTCGCGAGTATCATAGTTAGAATGGTATATATCTATTTACGATCACCGCCTCTCGGTCTCCAACTTGGGGGATTATATGGTAGTAGGCCTCCATTATATTAACTTGGGATAACATATGGGCATGTAATTTTAGAATCCTTCGTGGAGATGGTTCTCCATAGGTATCAGCCGATGTGGAGAAACTACCTTCTATAATGGAGTTGAAATGCCATATCTGAGATCTGTCGGATAAGAGGCTGCCTCCCGAGCTATTCCTCTTACACCGAGTCGGTGAGCACCTTGTTGAAAAGGGCCCGAATAGGAAATGTGGTCGGTTTTAGGCCTTATAGGAAAGACAAAAACCGAGGGCTTGTGTTGGGATATGTGCTGGTACAATTGAATTAACCCGCGAGCGCTTGTTGTATCTCAGGTTAGTTGGTAGGAGTAATACAGGGGTACTGAGCTATGGGGGTCGATATCAGAGAGCTCGATCGACCCAGTCTATTCATTTGGTTGATGGCACGGCCGTACGTGTTCCGTATTGCAAGTGGACCGATGTAAATGAATTTACTTTCTTGAGCCGCAATGCCGAGCTGCGGCACACTGCATGAACTCTACATATTACTTTCGGGGGATCATCATGTTGTATGTAAACTTTCCCTCCTGCATGGCCAACTCGAAGCTTTTACCATAGTAATAATAATATTTACCTATTTTATACTGAGGCTGTGGTAGAACGAATCTTCGGTTGTATCCGTCCCAAGGAATATATCTTTACTTTCGTAGTATCAAAAGATTTTGGGCACTTGCTTTAGCTCTTTAGCTCTGGCTCTCTGGTCCAAGCTTTCATCTAAGATCTTAGGTGACAACCGTATGGTCAATCTTTTCCTAAGACCGGAGTCATCCATATGGAAGGTGGGCGGATACCGCATTGTGCAAACCCTTGCTTGGATCCTGGAGACACCTATGTAATATGACGTGAGATCCCTCGGTCAACCAGGCGAAATCCTCCTCGGTCGTGACAGGGCAATGGCCCGCCGCCAAGGCCGGGTCGTGGAGTTTAATAGTAGCCAGAAGGGTCAACATATTTCCTTATTTGAGTGACAGACACCGGAAGAGACTAACATGATCAACGGCAGGGTTTTATGTGCTTCTGAGACTTCCAAGGACAGTGATGCAAGGGGGTCCGGGTCCTATGCAGACATTGCATACTCTAATGTATGTATGTGCCTAAGATTCAGCCCTAAACCCGTTGGGAAGCATGACGCGGGGACATGGGGCTGGTCTATTCCCCTGTTCCCCTGTTCGCCCATTCCCCTATTCCTCATTTGGACGATCGGTGAGCGGTCACATTTTCGTCAAGCAGAGCTCAGGCCTGTTCGTCCTTTGCGTATTTCGGACAGATGGGATTGCTTCACAGCGTACTTCCTGGCAAATCGGCTTTTCTTATCGACATGTTTACGGGCCGATCATCTCGCACTGAGGAATCGACGTACGCGATACCATCCGGAAATTCGACCCTCTAAATTAGATTCGCGTGAATAAATTTATCTGCCTAGAGTAAGCACCTACTAGCACGACGACCGGGCTTCTCATGAGTGCCCAGAGATTAGGGGTTCGCATGACGGACCCATATGAAAAAAAAAAAAAAAAAAAAAAAAAAAAAGGGCCTTTGCATTTCCCAGGGCTAATATAAGTATATAAGTGACGTCAACATTGTTAACACTAACTGCCCGAGTAGCATAGAAGACTTCGCATAAATAAAATTGTTTCGATGTTGAAGCAAAGGTGGCTGAGCCCTATCCTGAACACCACCCCCGTTCTCTTCGCGAACAAATAACGCGCCGCGGCACTAAGCTCAGAACACCCGGCATGACCGAAGCCACTCCACGCAGTAAGCGAGGGATTAAAAATAGAATTTTCTTGACAATTCGGCAACATGTGGAGGAGGCAATAGTAAAACTAGACGAAAAGGGATAATGGTACTTTTATCGACGTGGGAGATGTTGCAAGCTGATGACTCTAAACAACGCGGAGTTTCGGAGTTGATCTTCGGGAGACATGGAAGTATATACATGGACAGAAGAAAAGAACAAAGAAATGGTCATAACAGACGTGAGTAAAATAATACCGTCTCCCTAATCCCAGTAACCAATGCCGCAAAACAGGTATATCCTTTTCTCCCCTAAAAGTATAGCCGCCCTAAGTAGAGAGAAAAAAATGATATATAAAATCACTTCGGAAGTGTATAGAAATGCTGGCTAGACAGTTTTAGAGAATGAATATCTCGGTCCCAGCTCGGGGTAGACGCGTCGTAGTTCCTAGTGTGGCTACCGACCAAGAAAAAAACCAAAAAAAACCGCCGGAACTCCTCCGGCTCCTCCGGGACGTCGCTCACGCCTTGATATTCCAGGACGAGCTGATTCTTTGGCGTTCCTTCTTCATTGGAACTCAAACTCGACCCTATTTTCTCCCTGGAGGCCCTGATGGCTAACGGCGATGCTCGAGGGGAACATTATCGCCATAGAATCCTCCCTGGCTCCCAGAAGCCAGGCAAGCCAAGCAAACGCCTCCGCCGTATACTCGCGTATGCCGCTTCCAACCGGCGCTGAATCGTCCATTACTGAGATAATCTCGCCCTTGACATCGATCTCCGTAGAATCGAGCGATTCATGTGGCGCAAGGGGTAAGATTGGGCTCGAGGATGGGAATGAGCTAGGGGAGAAAGATGCCTCATCGTGTCCTGAGCCTGTATGCGCTGGTCCGAGAGGCAACATCTTTGTGTAGGATCTTCTCCTTGGAATAGAGGGAGAATCTTGACCGTGGGCCAACGCGGTTGTACTAGACTCTGGCGAGGGCGATAATGTATAATCCGGGTTCGGCTGCTGGAAGAAGCTCGTATCCAGATCGCCCATGCTAGAAGCCGCAATGCTTAGCCGGCGGTCTTGAAAACTAAAAACCCCTGTCAAGAGAGTAGGTGGTGTTAGCGGCGGCGGTGGCGGTGGGCCAGACTTAAGGATCAGTGGCATGCCTGCGTCTATGCTCACGGAAGCTGTCATATCTCCCTGATGCCCCTCGCTGCTTTCTCGGTCTTTGGACCTATCCTGACGCTTCCCTTCTCCTTCGCTTAAATTCCCAGCCGAGGACAGCTGTGTGACTCCCGAGGGCTGATTCACTGACATGATCTCGTTTTGGAAGACGATTCCGCGTGACTTCTCTGAAATCCAAAGTTTCTGAAGAGTAGTAGGGCTGTCATCTAGTTGACTAGTGTAGGTTGGGGAATGTGACTTATATCTCTTAAAAGTAGTGTAGTACACCGAGGGAAGTGAATCCTAAGAAGGTGAACAAGAGCCGCAGATGGGTCCCCGGTACCAATATAAGGTACCGTGGGTCTGCTGTAGAGGGAGATTGACAGCGGGCATGTTTTCTTATTAGGGAAACTAATAATTAGATGCGTTTTCTGTGCCGTCTGGGGTCGGGCCTTCACCGATGTATGTATCTTGTACCAGTAGGTAGAAGCTCGGAGAGTGGACCGGGATGTCGATCGGGACAACCCAAGGACTGAACAAGGATTCTCGCTTTACTCAGCGGGTTTGGCCTCGATATATCAAACGCACTATGAAATATGCGCGGGTGACATAAAGCGGCCCGGCTCGCAGATCAGGAGGAGGAGGGAGTGTGCGTATGTGCAGATGTAGGAACTTGATGACTTGGTAAGTAGATGATAGATAAATCGCGGTCGCTCGGTAGGTCAAGATGCTCAATAAACAAGGCTCAACCGGCAGCTTACAAGTTGGGGTCCTAAAAAGAGGGCTGGGGAGATAAGATCACTCGCGTCTGCATACGGCAGAGAGGAAGCGCTCGGGTGGAGGTAAGTCTTTATAGTCAATCTCGAGCTTACAAGCACGACATAACCAAACTCTTGCAGAGCTACCTAGTTGATAGTCCAGGCGTGGAAACAGACGTAATATAAGCGCCCTTGATGCCGTTGAAGGATCTAAAGAAGCTAGAGAGGCGGGAGACGAGGAGAGATTTATACGGGCGTTACCTAGAGCTAGTACTACTACATCGTGTCAAGGTCCCATTACCAAGACACAACTTGACGGGACTAAGTGACAAGGGCCATCTACAGAAGAAGTACATACAATCATGAAAAATAAACAGCCCGAGCGTCTGGGGAGGGTGTGAGTGTGAGTGGAGAGGGAGTGGATGTGTGAGAGTTAGTTACTTTCCTCTTCAAGGCCCCGCCATCTCTTTGTCAGTCAGCCTCAATTGAATAGACGTGGATGACTTGGCGGCTTGCCTCTTCGGGTCCGTATAAGAGAAGTCGGATATGTTATTGGGTGGCCGTTGGACCTACGCTTCATATTCCCGCGAAAACGGGCCGGGTCTGTGTAGGACAGCCGCCATATGCTTGAGTATATCAACACTGAGTGTACCCGATGTAAACGGGACGGATTATACGGGCGAGAAGCCTCGTGGATTAAGGTTAAGAAATGACTACGTTATTGGAGCCAACGCCTCTTATGCCGTCATGCTGCACCGTAGTGAAGCGATTCATCGTGCATATGAGACTGGGGCAAAATGACTAGGCCATATTGCGTGGTTGATGAAATTATCTGAGGCACGAAATTACGCCGTAAGCTTAGCCGTCAGTCGGGATCTGTCCGGCCACTTCGGTGGACAAGGGAGCACGAGACGAGGTGAGAATATTAGTGTAATCTAGGATGAGGTGAAGAATGAGGCGGGACGAAAGAAATCAACGTGTTAGCTGGAATCGAACAAATTAAGATGGAGATCCCTGCTATTCTTCAGCGAGGTCCAATAAGACTTCCAAGAGTACGGACTTTTGCATTTTTCTATGTGGAGTGTTGTGGAGCTGTTGGAAGCTTTGAAGCTGTTATTAGGAGTCGCCTTCTTGCGCGTACTCTTTAAACAGCGTTGATATGAAGATAACAAAGGTTGGCTATTGGTAGGATTGGAGCGCCCTTGACTCGGTTCTTGTTACACAGGTACGATAGTAGGTAGCTCATAAGGTGGTTGTGGCCCTTTTGTGACGCATGCATCGTGACGCTCGGGCTTAAGCGTCAGTCTCTGTAGGCGCTAGACTCTAATAATGATCCTGAGACGGTAACCAGGGACGGTAACTATTTTACTAGGCTTAGGTACCTAGGGAGTAAGTGATGGCCCGTGGCACAAACTATTCCTAAATACCTAAATACAGATAACGAATTGTACGTATATCCGTTCTAGTCGACGCAGCTGAATCGGGGCCCAATGGGAGGACCGGGAAGCATGAATTCAGGGTCTATGCCCTAAATATGCACGGCATGTGAGCATACTAGTTCTCTTGTGTCTATGTTTGATGTCTAGACATGCACATAATCCTGGAGGCACAGGGCTGTGGATAGCTGACATGTGCTACGTAGATACTAAAGTATGCACAGTATAATGGTCGAGACTTGCTTATAAGAGCGCCGTATTTGCGAAATTTTTGATACGGCGCTGGGTAGAAAGACCGAACCCTAGAAGGGTCTAGGGAGATATATTAAAATATTATTATACTAAAAGACAGTTAGTTAGCATACTTAATCCATGAATAAATGTGAGCTTGTTAGTTGATAGGGTCTAAATGGGACCGGTGGTGGGTTTTTTTCTTCTTCTTCTGCTCCTTTGCTTGATCGATGGTTGAACCACTAGGGATTTATGGCGAGACTACTTCTGGAGCGAGTTAGCCTTGCACCACTAGCCCTATCTTGTACGGAGGTGGTCGGGGTGGTGAACGGGGTTCAGCTGAGGTGAGCCCTACGCCGCGTTAGCAAACCTGGTTTAAGTCGATCCCCGGCGGAGCGATGGCCCGGGGGTAGCAAAGACGAAAGCCGCTGGCGTTGAAAAAAAAGAGGAACATGTCTTGATGGGAAAGCTGGACAAGAAGACGGACGATGTGGTACGTGGAGAAGATGACCCGCGAAAGATTTCAAGCACAGCCCCTTGTTCCCCTTGTTTTCGGTTATTAGACGATGGTGAAGCAGAACACGAGACTCGTAGAGCGGCAATTATACACAAGGGGGCCGAGGCGTTCTAGTGTATTGTATTGTACAAAGTTTACTCTCGTAGGCCGAGGGTGCCTTTTGAAATGGGCATTTAGAAATGCCGCGGGAAAGCAAGGTAAAGATATCCAATAGAACGTCGTTTTCTTTCTCCTTGAGACGCCGACATACCTTACATGCCTTACATACCTTGCATACCTTAACTTGTAAGTGGAGATCTACATATGTACGAGTTACTGCTCCTTGAATACTCCTTGACTTTATTCCTTGACGAGGAGACGAGCAGACGAATAGTAAGCGAGATATCATCATGTAATAAAGCGGCGCAGTGATGCCTTGTGGATAAACAAACAAGGTAGGCGGCATATGCAATGATGCATAATATAAGTGCCGCTGGCATCGACGCTGGATCTTGGTTACATCCGTGAATTAGGTAGGCATAGGTACCAGGTATAAAAGAATCTTGAAAAAGTTGAGACTGACACGAAAAATAGAGGTCATCGAATAAGCGGCCGTTTAGGCCATTTGTTGCAGGTGCTTGGGGGTGGTTGATTGGGGGCGAAAGTTTGTAGTAAGAAATAAATATTAGGATAGGTCGATAGGTCGATAGGATAGTGTGATAGGGCCTATCAGGGTCCTGTTGATGTTGTCCAACAGTGTGGGAGTAGTGGATGCAAGGTGGTGGCAGCAGGGACAGAGCAAGTTCTTTTTCAGCTGAAAACAAGTCGAGCTAGTGGGACCCTATTTTGAGTCAATACATAGATACCTAGGTACTTACCTACTTAAGGGTAGGCGCAATGTAACCATAACTGAGGTCCCCTCTCCTGTAGGTTAGGTTAGGTTAGGTCAGGTTAGGTACCTAATGTACCTAACCTAGCATATTGAATGTTCCTACCTCACCTACATACATGTACCTTAGGTACCTAATAGTAGGTACCGTAATTTGCTTTACCATCAATCGATTACCACCAAACCCCACAACTCTATTCATCCCTCTTACCAATTGATCTTACTATCCTCCTTCTCCTCCACCTTGCATCTATGATTCTTTATTTTCCTTACAATAGCGATTATCTCATACATACCTCATAACATGTATATTTTACCTGGGTAAACATTAAAACTTCAATTTTCTTCTTTAATGTTTTTCTATTTTCTTTTCTTCGTACGACTGTATCACAGGCAGAATTTACTAGAACGTGGCAATAATAACCTGCGCTGCCTGGCTACTACGCTTTCTGGCGTTTTAATTGTCTTGATCGTCTCCATTCCTCGGCCGAATTATCGCTCTTTATCGCTCTTTATTTGCGACTTTGTCTGACCGATTAGTAACAGTTTCATATCAGTCAGCCTTGCCACCAACTTCACAGCTTCAGCGAGGCTTCCCCATCGTCGAATCCTTGTCTCTTCGTAATCAACTATTATTATCAACTATTATCAGGTTGCTATAGCGTCGTCCTAAAGAGCAGGTTTTTCCTGTCTTCATGACCACTTGATTTTTTTTCTACTTCTCTTCTCACTTGAAATAGACTACTACACCGCCTCTCTACTACGCGGCTCGTTCTTGGCTCATAATCTCTCATTCTTTTCCTTCTTATTTTGTCCTTTCCGATTCTAGCGAAGTCGCAATCTACTACGTCGCGAGGACGCGCAAGCTTAGGCGACGAACAAGGGGGGGATATGTTGATCTCCGGTACGAGGCTCATGGAGGCAAAAGGCGAATCAAAACGACGCCGGCCTGTCCTATCCAGTGGACTCTCTTTATGAGAGTAAAGAAACACCGCCACTGCAGCCATGTTACAGTGTGCTACTCTATCCCCGGGCCGCTCACTCTTTAGTTCTTGACCGCTTGATCAATATAGTAGAAATACTGTGTTCGATCTCTTCCGTCGATATAGTTTATTAAGTCCTACTACGTCAAACATCACATCATTTATTACCTAGGTAGTTATATATTTTTATCTTAGCTTGGGGCCTTTTGAGAAGTCTCAATTTAAGTGGTTGGCTGACTTAAGACAAAAATAGACCACTTCTCAGACAATATAGTTGATGTTATATGCACTACACTACTTCACTATACATTTTTCCATTACACTACCTACTTACTCCGATTATGCTTTTCTCAAAAGTCGTACGTCTAGGATCCTTGTCTTTACTGCTTACTACATAATAGTTATGTAGGTAGTATACAAGATATAGTCGCGGCAAATGATATATGAGTCGGCGCTTAAAAACCCCCCCTTTTATTATTACATCTTTTACAATGCTTCAACTGTCACATCGGCGGCTGAAGTATCCAATTATTGATCGCACATGGCTGCTTACTTATTAAGTACATACGTAGCTCGGTAGCCCATCGATTTCCTTAACTGCTCCACTGGCAGTCCCCTGGTCACCAATAACCACTCGGCATCATCTTGCGTGTTGCAGCAAGCGTCTCTCAGCCCTACGAGATTTAGGCCCGGAGATCCTGTAGTCGATCCACCACACTGCATTTTCGATCCACGCGTATCATTGGATGCTGAATAGCCCTGATTCCGATTAGTCACAATGTAGTTCTACTACCCCATGTTGCCCATGTCATCCCGTTGGTCACAAGTGACGCCCGCGTTGCAACCCGAATCCGAATACCATGCTTTGGTGTCGCAACTGATAAACGATCACCAACATAGCCCGAATCTCTCTACCAATCTCAACCAACAGACGAAGAAATGTCCTCAACATACCTCCGGACCACAGCATTTAATGGCTACTAGGAAAACTACAGCCTGCGTTATCCTGACCAAGGATAGCTTCGATGTTCAGCCTGAATGCTAAACACGTGACTATCGATCTGCCCTACGCCTACGTTTACGCTGACGCTATTCTTTAGGACCTAATTCTTGGCCCTTCTGGCTCTCCGCTTTCCACATGGCAGACGCAATGCGCGACTTAAGCCATACGACCCAAACAGAGGCCTCCTTTTGGCCCGCTCTACCCGGGTCGGGCGAATTCGTTGAACTTGGTTGTCTTACTGGCTCATTTACGGTTGGGTTGCAAACACAACCTACAACCTTAGCCGTCCACTCGGTTATTTAGTACATGACGTCCATGTTGATGTTTTGACACACTTCTGCATTTCTAAAAGAAAAAGAAAATAATAATAAATTAAGGAACTTGTCGATTATTCGTCCTGGGGCTGCCTGAGCCTCACAGGTACATTACGGTTACAACATTCTCTACCACCTCTGTCCCGTCAGCTTATCTGCTTCAGAGACCGTACGAGTTTTAGGCACTACGTGCTGGCTCTAATTGAGTGGCCTCGAATCCTAGATATCTACACAGCGGTGATGATTAGTTGACGGGACTTTACATCCGAATCCGATCCCGAAGGCACGGAGCGAACCGTTGACGGGCCTTCCAGCTCGATCAAACCCACTTATCTCCACGCTCTACTCTGCTGACCTGTATTCCTAAGCTTGTTCCGTTTAGAGATGATTCATAATTCGCCGTCTGTGAGTTGTGAGTTTTGGGTTTTTGGTTAGGAGCATCAAGGGGATTGTTCCTATCTGACTCATGCTCCTATGATATTACTATAGTGAATGACCTGTCCGTCGCCAAAGGAGAGTCCGAAGTTTTATCAGGATAGTACCGTAGAGCCGATGGACCCGAATAAGTGGTAGGCATTTTACCACTTTTGGGCAAATGCTTGTTTTTAGGACCAAGGTCCCGAACTCCTTAGCTGCATCAGCATTTAGGTACATCACCTATAACATCAAGAAACACCCTTTCAGATTGGTATAAAGGCTGACAAATCCAATGATGATCCTTCGTGTGCCCACTAGACGGTTTACACGCAAGTTATATAGAGATAGTATGAATTTGCGAAACAGCTGTCCGTAACGTTTGTTCGTATAGCTGGTGCAACACCAACACATGGATCATCATAGTACTCTTCCTTACACTCTACGTATTGTGTTCTCTCCATCTAACGCTCGTAAAGTGACGTCTTATGTTACCTTATTTACGACCTTGGATTTGGGGGCTAGATGACGTGGACCAGTTGCGGCACAATTCAAAAAGGACTTGACAACTCGCATATCTTTGGGTACCAGAAATAATTCTAAGAGCTTTAACTTAGTCTCTGGACATGGCCTGAATTTAGGACGTGATATATCCGAACTTGTTGACCGATAATTCGGCATCTGGACGACCCACACTTGTACGGCGCGAGTCCAACACCCGGGAAACATGTTTATTTCCCCTACAGCGGTATCTGGATTCAAACGCCGTCTGACGCAGCGGGATTATTGTACTTCAAAGTCAGATGCGTCTTATACTGGCGAAATCGTCTGAGGTAGACCACGTATGTGCTGACGGTTGTTATGCAACCTGAAGGTCATCCTTATACCCACCCCGTTGAGAGATTTTTATCACTTCGCTGTAGTTCGGTCCCGGGTTTAAGACCACGACAACCTAGGAGACCCTAAGAAAGTCCGAAATACACTGTCCCGGAGCCCCTAATGGTGTTAGGGCCGCAACGCCGTCGTGGCTCCTCCGGGGTCAGTCTAACAAAGGGATAGGTGACTATGCTAAGAGTGGATAACTACCTACCTTAGGTACCTGGCTAGGTGAAATAAACCTTACTTTATTATCTACTAACAGCGATGAACCACGTTGTATTTAGCTTGCTGGGTTTCAAACAGGTGCGAGTTGTTGACTTCATAAATCAGAGGTAAAGTGTTGGTTTACCTTAGCAATATCACGCAAGCTCTATAAGTTGAAGTACGATCATGATACTTCACTAAGTACCAAAAGCGACAATGAAGATACTTGAATTTAGATTTGGGTACATACAGTAACATTATTTGCCTACGCAAGAACTATTGTTTTAACCTTGCTTCCCCTTGAAGCGAATTAAGACCAAGTACCTTGGCAGATAAGTCATGTCGGATAACCTTTTGGTGTGGAAATAAGTATGATATGGGAAGAAAGACTGAGCTTTAAAAGGCTGAACTTACGATCCTTCACCACGACGTTGTCCTAGCCATGGAGAATTTACTGATACTAGATATATAGCTATCTAAGGGTTCCTATTGATATCATGCCGCTTAATCATAAAGTGATATAATTAATAGCCATGAATTGGTCTTCTTGGATCCCGAGTTTCGACTAGTAGGGATGCTCAGCATGTGAACATGCGCTGATATATCCTGATCATGGGCTATACGCTCTTGTTTGAAGGAAAACGAAATAATATTTGCTTACTTCTACTGCGAGGTATCGTATATGGCCGTAATCTCCTGCCTTAAAGAGAATATGCAGCTGGTGATCAGAAGCAAGCTATCTTAGGTATCAAAGGCTACACAAACTAACTCATTTTTCAGGGACCAAGGAACCCCGTCACTAGCAAGGATATTTTTATCGAGGATATGGAACAGGTTAGTAGTCCATTATAGGAGTCTATTAGATCGAATTAATTAAGGTACCTAAAGTTAATATTTTGGCACCAATTCTTTTCTCGTCTGGTACCCCCTGATTAACCCCTTTACCAATCCTCACAGCTGGAATTCTTATAAGGCCAGTACCAATACGGCCGTAGTGTCATATCAATCGGCGAGAAAAAGACCATCCATGTGACGTTTCCGCTTATGATGTTTTGCCGAATACTTTTTGAGTATGAGTGTAGTGTTAGGTACATTCTCTTCTCTTCCCTCGTCTAGTTCAGCTGGATTCCGGGTACGGTCTCCTGACTTTTTTATTCCTTATTCCTGCATGCAGTTATCCATATATACCTACCTAATATAAGGAAGTCGTCATACACATTGCTAATGTCATATGAGTCGGATATGTAGTGACTGCGGGACCCCGCGCGGATCAGAAGGTTGTGCGGTGCTCGTGGACCACTTCAGCTCAGAATATGTGGTATTCAATATGCTCTAGACAAGTCCAAATACGTTATACTATCTACCGGTAGGATGGATGTACGTCTGTGCTTTATGAGCAGGCTGAAGAAGTTGTGTAACAGGTAAGGTTACTTTCTTGGAGCTGGCTAGCTGGCTTCTTTGGGTGTTCTGGACGGGCAGGTAGGTTACACGGCACTAGGAAACACGTTGTTGGTGTTAGACAATGTTACATCATGTTGGTCATTTGGTGCTATGATGACTCGCATGATAGGGACATGGGGGGATACGATACATGGTGTATTGTAACCGTAAGGTAGATGCTTGGCGAGCGGCAGCACTTCGTGACAATACATTGAGAGCATCGGACAAAAACGGATTCTTTATGAAGTTTGAATATAGCAGCTTCAGCTCAGTATATCGGGGGTATATGTCAGATCAGCAACTATCTAGCACTTGTGTAGGTTCGGAAGCGCCGTACGCGACCGATGACTTAGGCAGATGAGGCAATAGAAGATTCAAAATTCCCTTTAATCATTTCGTTCTGTCGAAGATATAGGAATATATGCAACAAGCACGGGTATCCAGCCGAAGGTCACATTGGATCCTTCCTAGTAGACAATAGTCTACCATCGGATTACCTATTCTGGTCATTTCAGCTCTACACAGATATCAACCTGTAAGGTGGCGCGGCCGTAATAAAAAAACAAAATCATAGAAGCGAGAAGAATACCCGATATAAATAATCGAAACGCAAATCGGGTACGAAGGCAAATTTCAATTAGCGTTATTCCCAAAGTAAAACAACATCCGCAAAAGCGCGTGAGACGTGAGGCACATTATCTCTTCCAGTCCACCAGTAAACGCCACCAACTCAACCGCGAGCCGAGTCAGATCAAACTCGGGCTTGGTACAACCATGACATAAGATAACGCGGGAATGAATGCAACCGATACAACATATAACAGATTAACAGATCATCATAGGCTCTCCTTGCCCGGGTATCGCCGGAGCCCCCTCACTTCGCTCCTCTTCCATCATGTCGATGAGGTCATCCAAGTTAGAATCCAAGTTCTCTGCAGCCTCCTGATCCAGGCATTCCTTGAGTAGTCGTCGGTACTTGTCAATCTTCTCGCCGGTGCCGGACACCCCTAAAGCATCGACGTACTCTTTCTCTGCGCGTCGCTGCTCTACGACAAGCTCCCTTAGCTCCTGGGCAAGTTGAACTCGTTCTTCGTACGAATTGTCACCGGTATCACCATTCATCATCGATACTGCTTGTTCGACGGAAGAATGCACATAGTATCGGCTCTGGCTTGCTAGTAATGACGTGACTTGCTGCTGTAGGATAGTAGCTTCGCCGACGACCTTTGACGCTGCCTCGGGAGATTCTAACTGACTGTCTAGTTCGGCAATTTGCGCTCTAACAACGGCAAGCTCGTTTTGTGTATTTGCGAGGATACGACGAGCCTCCATCTCGGCCTCGTTCTTTTCCTTCCATTCCTCATCGTAACTATGGGCGAGATCCTGGAACTTCTCTAAGACAAGTGGCGTTATCTTATTTTGGACTGTATTTGCTGCTTCCGAGTTATATGTAACAGCTAGCTTAGAAACGGATTCTGTGATGGCGTCGCGAAGGGAGACGTGTCGTTGAGAGTCGGGTGCAAAGGGAGATGAGGATCGCTGAGGGACACGCTCCTTTGGATTTTTTGTAGCATTTAGTTCCTTGATCAAATCCTCTGCGCGGATTCCTTCTGCGTTGGGAATGTCCGTGGAGGCGCCCCGGCCAAGAAGGGCTCGTATACATTTACGAGCGTTCGTCTTTGCCGCTAGGTGTAGAGCGGTATTACCGCCATGATCTTGGGTGTCGATAATGTGCTGGACGAAGTTGGGGTCATGAGTTTCTTGGAGTTTGTTTAGAATATTATCGAGATAGTAACGGCAGCACGAAGTACTAGTGATCCGACCACTTTTCATAATTGCTGCGTGATGAATTACTGTACAACCAGAATCGTCACGCGCGTCAACGGTATCCCAAAGTTCCTTCATAACCTGAGGGAAAGTTTGCTTCTCGTAACAGTTGGTAAAGTTTACGGATCGCATGAACGGGGTTTCGCCCTTGCAGTTTTGAACTCCTAAAGTGGCTCCGAATCGCTTCAGCTGCTTAATGACATCCACATCGCCCATAGCGCTAGCCCAGTGGAGGGCAGTATGCTTCTCTGTATCGATCGGCCAGTCAGGCTGAAAATTAGGAGGAGGCTCGGGACGGAAATTGGGTGCCTCGTTACGAGATAAGAGGAAGTAATCCAATAGCTCATCACCATAGACCGAATGTTGCTGCTCAGTGAGGTCTTGTATATTATCCTCTCGTTTTCTCTTCCGGGTGTCCGGTCGAATAATGTGATAAATCATGGCGATCGTCTTCTGCTATGTATGAAACCGAAGCAACAGTGACGTTATCCGGGGTATCATCCTCATTTAGCTGTTGGCTGGCAGTCTCAAGTTCTTGGGGCGGCGGGGCACCTATGGCATATTAGCAGTTGTTCGGCGACAAAGTAATCGAAGCATCATACCCCATTTTGGCACTGCCGGCTTTCTAGGGGCCTTTGGCTTGCTTGCATGCCGAGGCGCTGGGGGTGGGCTCTGATTTCCGGGAACGAACTCAAAGATGGGCCGAAGGCGCTCGAAGATGTTGTTTCGTTGGGCAAGTTGTTCCCCGGCTTCCAAAGGAATCCATGTGCCTTGATATTTTCCATATCCACCCTGGATCTTCTCGTGTACGTCTTTTTGTACCTCGCGCTCGAGGATTCTCGTACGGGCGGGCTTGTCGAACCCTGCTGCTTTGAGGATATGTGTCGCATTGACCCAGTCGTCTTGTCGCCGGCGCATTACGTGCTCCTTATTATCACCACCAAACTGGAACTCGTATACGGGCACCTGTTATCAGACTTGTAAGTAGGATGCTCGGACTAGAAAAATTGTATAGTGGTATGAAAGAGTACGTTTTATTATGTTATAGATTAGCAATGCGATTCAAGAGAAAGTTACTTACACCACTATATGTGGCACTGTAAATACCAGCAGCAGCAACGGTACCAGCGCCAGCGCCAATGACAGCATTAGGAGCGTCTTTTACCATCTTTGCTGTTTGGACCCAATTAGGGCTGAAAGAAGAGTATGAGTAAAGTACCTAGTGAGGGCAACGGCGATAACGATAGAAAGGGATATGAAGGATATGAAGAATATGATGACGACGGTATGGCAGCGAATATAAAATTACCAGTGCGCAATACCAATTAGGAAGACAAGGACACAATTTATAATAATACGTTAATATTATGCCAATGTGAAAGATTGAGGGAAGATATACTGCGCAGTCATGAGAGAGGTAGTTTTAGGTAGTTGAATCTGCGGAGGTGATTGGCAGCCGGGGTTAGGCTGATGGTGGGTGATGATTTTGTGAAAGTTGCTGCAACTTTTGGACGCGGAGACGCGAAATAGAGTAAAAGAGCATGGGGGGAAGGGGGACGACGCGCTACGGATGTACTCTACACGCGTAAATTGGATATAAGGTCACCTGACACATTAGTACGAACCTTAGTATTTTGAGTCTTATGTAAGCGCTCTATATTTTAGGTTACGTATGAAGTACCTCGGTACTTGACTTGTCCATTTATGTTAGTTATTTTATGTTAAATCTTCAATTGTCGGGAATGTTAAACTTCATCTCAATTAATGTTTTTCCTAAAAGAAAATTATACATGCAATACGCAACTCCTATCAAGTGACATTGCTATTCTTGATTGGAATGATCGCTTCTATTCCTTCAAGTAAATATGGATTGCTTTTTCAATCTTCAAAACATCCACTCATTCGTCCGTTATTACCGGTATATTGGTATTGAATATCAACCATGCTCCCTTCACTTGTCAATCACTTGCCAGTGTTTCGTATAAAGCACACCGTTCAAATAGTTTTGATCACCCTAACCCCCAAACTACATCTTTTACTTTATTTTGAGTTGATGATCCCCATCCAACTTGTCTTTTCCCTATAGACTTATAAGTAAGGATCTCAATCGTACTGACTAGGAACGACAATGGTCAAGTCTATTTCGCTTCAGACCCTTGCGGGTAGTATCGAATATGCCTGTGGGACTGTTGCGCATCTTCTCGTTGACCTGGGAAAGCTTGTCCCTTTGGCTAGGGCTAGCCTGCTACCTGTGGCCGCAGAATGTTTAACTGCAAAGGAGGTTGTTGGAAAGCTGAGACTACTCTTAGCTCTAGGAGGAACTACAGACCCTTGTGCGGCATATGGAAGTTATAACGGGCAAGTTGAGGACCTCGAGCCCTGTTTTGAAGTCGTTCTTCACGCTATATCGGAAATACTAGTTGACCTTGATTACGAAACTACACGTTTACGTCGCTATCATACCTGGGGGGACCCTCTTGCATCCTCGAAAGTGGTCCCGGTTATACAAGACTTCTTTATAGATGCTAGGTTTTGCTTGCGAAGAAGCCGGTCCTCTTTGTGTCTCATAATCGATTGTCTTCAGAGGTAATAGGACTAAGCTCTCAAGTTAGCTATCGTGGAAGAGTTGATTAATATGACACCCAGGGGAATTTTATCAGGGGCGACTATTCAACTCATAGACCAAACTTTTCTGACGCACCCCTCGTTCGCGAAAGCAGCGGGCTCTTCAAGGTTACAGCCTTTGGTAGCGATTGAACTGCATAATATCGAGGCAACTAGATATAACGGTCGCTTCTGACTAAGTATCGACCTGAAAGCCTACGCTCCCCAAGAGTGATTACAGCCTCATATCAGCATTTCGCATGTTGCATCATGCAATCACCAGGTGCGACTATAGTGGCCGTACATAGATGCCTTTTGGCGAATACAACCCCGGATACTCCTCTAGAAGAATTAGGGGTTGTTACCAATTCACCGAGCTCTAGACCAAATCGAAGCGTCACTTGTTTTGGAAAATAAGGCGGCTACAAGGGCATTGAATTCAATCGTAATGGCCTTGCTTATCGCGGGTGCCAGTCTCAAAGTGCGAGACGAAAACGGGCGGACTCCCCTCATACGGGCTGTTATGAACGAAATGCCTGACTCTATAATATCCCTGATGCTGGAATTCGGAGCTTCTGTCCAGACCAAAGACAGACAAACGAACATGGCTCTTCATCATGCGGCGATGAAGGCCCCTTCGGAAGAAATGGGTAATATTAATACAATCAGGGTCTTGCTAGCCCATGGCGCCGACCAGAGCCTTAAGAACAAGAGGGGACGTGCCCCTTTGCACGAAGCCGTCTTGTTTGAGTGCTTCGACCGAGCTCGGGAGTTCTTGGATTATGGAGCAGACTTGGAAATAACGGATAATAATGGGTGGACTCCCTTACTTTGTGCAGTCACCAAGGGGAATTCGGCATTGACAAAGCTTCTATGTGATCGGGGCGCTATTGTTGACAAGAAAGATAAAAATGGACATACGGCCCTTCACTACGCCATCTCCCGAGGATCTGAGGAAATTTCTAAGGTTTTGCTAGATGCTAGGGCGGATGTGAACCTCATCTCGAAAGGTGAAACTCCCCTCTGTCGAGCAACGTCCAAGTCAAACCTGTCACTCGTTAAGCTCTTTCTAGAATACGGTGCCGACGTTAATTTGCCATCGCCTGGCTACTACGGTGCCCTGCCAGTACACGTTGCTGCCATGGGAGAGACGTAGCTATATCTGAAGCTCTCCTAAGGGCGGGATCCCCAATTAATGCCTTGGACGACGAGTGTCGCACGCCATTAAGGTGGGCAATGGACAGTGGAAAGAATGAGCTGGTACATTTTCTGATGAGTAAGGGAGCAGCAAAGTAATTCCCTTTTCTATAACGTTATGAGGGTTCTCTTTTTTGAAGGCTTAATTTAATATTATCTGGGTACTTCGTACGCACCGGATCTTATAATTCGGGTCACACTTGATAATATAAGCCAATCACGAGAGCCAGATGGTCCCGATTAGGAATATCTGGTTTGGACGAACTATGACGTAAATTATTTATTCTTCGATTTTATTTAGTATTCGGATATAAGACAACTACATGTATCTCCGTGATGATACCTACGAATAACCTATCCATTATGCCGTGGTTGGGCGAGACGATGGTATGTATTGTGCTGATATCAGGGGGCTCTTTATAACGGTCTAGCAGCAGTATGAATATCTAGATACCTACATATAGGTACATGTATCTACTAGAGTTATGCATCTTATTATACCTATTGGTAAACTATAAACTTTACCTTAGCTAATGGTAGCTGTAACTACCCCGCTCGTTCTTCAGCTTTGGTGGTGCAATATACAGAACCGGCGACGCAAGCGAAAGCACGTCAACATGCTAAGTTAGATCTATCATTTTTTTCCTTCTTATCCCGTTATTGACTTCCCCGCTCTTTATCTCCTTACTCCGAATCGGCATTCCCAGGTCCAACACCGTATGAGAACGCGCTCCGTATATAAATAGACTGCTTTTCTCCTGGGGTTACTATATAAATATTGGCATAAACTGAACAATAAATTATAGCAGCTTGTGATTTATTTGTACTACCTAGACGGTAACAGAAAAAGTTCAATATGCCTTTAATTGCCTCTGCACCACGAGACCGCATCATCCTGGGTCTGATGACCTTTGGACCCGACGAGAAAGCTGGCGCTCGAATTACCGACATCAACGAGTTCAATAGGGTACTCGATACCTTCCAGTCCCGTGGCTATAATGAAGTTGACACAGCACGAGTCTACGTTGCCAGCCAGCAGGAGGCCTTCACCCGTCAAACAAGGTGGAAGGAGCGCGGTCTAACGCTGGCCACCAAGTTCAAGTATCCTTCTGAGGCCGGTGCCAATCAGGCTGCTAAGGTAGTCGAGAGTTTGGAGACGAGTCTCAAAGAGCTTGGGACTGATACCGTAGATGTAAGTCTAAAGTCAGCCTTATATTTTAGCTCTACTTATAAGTCTTATACGTCTTATATGTTATCTTATGGCACATCTGTTTCTTTAAGCTGATACTAAAGGCTTTATAGATTATCTACCTCCACGCAGCCGATCGTGCAACACCCTTTGCCGAGACACTTGAAGCAGTAGACAAGCTACACAAGGCTGGCAAATTCGTACGGTTCGGCATTTCTAACTTTACAGCTGCGGAGGTGGCTGAGGTGGTTTTGACTTGCAAATACAATAATTGGGTACGGCCGACCATCTATCAGGGCATGTACAACGCCATCACGCGGGGTATTGAGCCGGAGCTGATTCCGGCATGTCGGCGATACGGGCTGGACATCGTAGTATACAACCCGATCGCCGGCGGCCTGTTTAGCGGTAAAATCAAGAGCGTGGATATCGACCCAGCCGATTTCAGCCGTTTCAGCACAAAGGCCAGCACGGGTGCGAACTACCGCCAACGATACTTCAAGGAGAGCACGTTCAAGGCTCTGCAGACGATAGAGAAAGCAGTCGAGAAACACGACGGATTAACGCTGATCGAGGTAGCGCTACGGTGGGTAGTACACCACAGCCAGCTCAAGATTAAGGGCGGCAACGACGGTATCCTGATCGGAATCAGCTCCCACGACCAGCTCGTGAGCAACTTGGATAACTTAGAGAAAGGTCCGCTTCCAGAGGATGTGGTGGCGGCGCTAGATGAGGCATGGAGGATTGCAAAGGCGGACGCACCCAACTACTGGCACAAGGAACTCGCGTACACGTATGATACACGAGAGGCGCTGTTCGGAGCCAGTGCGAAGTAAGCGTGTAAAAGAGAGGCATGCATGGCAAGTTGATTCTTATCTGCAAAATGTAGCTCTAAAGAGGTACACGAAGCATACCTGAATTCCGAAACTTGATAAGGTAGTGTTACCGCTGAAGACGGCACATGTGATTACGTGCATAGAGTAGGTATGTTCAATGTTGTGTGTTATATACCTTAGGTACCTAGGTAACGTATGTGTATATATGTATGTGTGTAGTGTGACTTATTTTTATTTTTTGTTGACTCCTGACTCCTCAGACCTCAACGAGGATGTTTAGGTGTAATATTGTAAATACCTCTTTCTAAACTGCTTCCATGTGTTGTATGGAAGTAACATTGAATTTATGTACCTAGGTACCTATGTAGCAACATCAATTGAAGACAACTGCAGCTTGGCTAACGTAAGCTGGTACATTAGGTACCTAAGAATGGTACTGTACATTACCGATGCCCCGGATAGCGGCACCTAAACTACCCGCGCCAATGCCCAAGGGCCAAGATTACCGCGACAGATCTTCATAAAAGACAACGACGAGAGTAACAGGGGATACATGTGTTAGCGTGCCCCCTGACCCCTTACTGCCCTTAGCGAACCAACCGCTACTGAAATTCCGCTCTTTTGGGTGTCACTTGATGATTTTCCAACTGCAACTAACAATTGTCCATTTGTCTATCATTTGCCCACTTGATGTGCATACGGGAAGTTTTTTTACTTTGACGAATCAGAATCCTGACCTTAGTTTCTCTCTACCTCTTCTGCTGCATAACCTACGTAAGAAATAGGATTAACTACATTATATCTCTTTAATTTACCGTGCCGTAAGAGGTAACCTTCGATTCTCACCTAATCATCCTTTTGTTCTTTTTTTATTTTATTTTTTATTTTTTCATTCTTTAATGTCTTCGAAACCAAACAACTTTCGCCTATCCAGTATACCGGCTCGTTTAAAACCGACGTCGCAATATTCGAAAGCCGAACCATCACCGCTATTATCCGCTAGTTCCTTCGGATCCAGCGTCGAAGATTATATCGGAAGTGGTACCGACACCGTAGGAGGCAGAACTCCGGTCTTCGGCAGGCGACTATCTTTCGTTCAGGAAGACGACGAAGCCTCGGATATCACACATCTTCGTAGCCCTCATAGGTTCGATATAGATTATTCCGAATACTCGGACGACGACAGTACCATGCCCGATAGCGCTAAACGACCAGCATTCCTCCGTCCGTCTGACGGTCGATCTGTCACACCGCTTCTAAAGAAATCAGACGACGATGATCGCGGTAGGACACGGTATAACAACTCGCGGCCGACATCACCTCTCCCGATACCCTCTGTTTCTACACCAGCCTCCGACCGACCAACCTTTAGCCGCCGCTCCACCATGAGATCTCGATCTCCAGATACTCAAGCGCGGATGGCGGTGCGCAAGAAGTACACGTACGCGGCTATCTTCTTGGTCGTGTCGTTAATATCCTTCTGTGTGCAGACGGAGCTGGGTCGGTACGTGCAGCACGAGCTTGGCTGGGACAAGGCTTACTGCATGTTATATCTTACACACGGGTCGTGGGCATTGCTTTGGCCGGCCCAACTACTTATCCTGCGGGTGCAGAAGTGGAATGTGCCGTGGCAAACCTTCTGGAGGCGGCACGTCTACTTGTTGCGCTCAACAGCGCATATGGTCGCACATCAGGAGCTCGACATCCCCCGACATGTTGTCCAGCGTAGTCCGATACCCTACATCTTGCGCACCACTGCGTTTGTTACCACTTCTTTAACAGTCGCAGGCCTGAGTTGGTATGTTGCTGTCAGCATGACTACCCCCAGCGACTTGACAGCCATCTATAACTGTTCTGCATTCTTCGCCTACGCTTTCAGCGTACCACTACTCAAGGAGAAGTTGCGCCTTGATAAGTCAGTTGCGGTGCTGATTGCCATTGTTGGCGTCATGGTTGTCGCGTATGGAGACTCTAAATCTGGCGCGGGAGCTGATAAAGAAGCAGAGACTGAGGCTGGCACGCGATTCCTTGGCAACATGATCATCGGCGCAGGGAGCGTGCTGTACGGGCTCTATGAGGTGTTATATAAACGGTACGCTTGCCCACCTGAGGGTACGTCGGCAACGCGGGGCATGATCTTCGCCAACGCGTTTGGAAGTTGTATCGGGGCCTTCACACTTTTCGTCCTATGGATTCCTTTGCCGATCATCCATATTCTCGGCTGGGAAACATTTGAACTGCCCACTGGCGCAGCGGCATTCTATCTCTTCGTGTCGGTGATCATGAATGCGACATTTGCAGGCAGCTTCCTAGTACTAATCTCATTAACGAGTCCCGTGTTGAGTAGTGTCGCTGCGCTGCTGACAATTTTCATCGTGGCACTAGCCGACTGGATTATCACGGGAGAGGGTATGAGTCCATCAGCTCTAAGCGGTGGGTGTTTGATTGTGGTAGCATTTATAATGCTAAGCTGGAGCACCTGGCGCGAAATGACAGAAGACGCAGAGCGCAAGGCGGCTGTAGATATTGCTGGTCCGGTCGACTGGAGTAGTGAGGACAGCGATAAGGATGCTGGCCGGTTGGATTAGGGTAAAATTCCTAGCTTACGCATACGACTGTGCGTTACTTTTGTTCGCGAGTTTATATTTTAGTCTGCTTTATTTTTCATTTTTTTTATCCTTCTAACATCGTTTCATCCTTTCTCTGGTTCAGGTTCTACTGTATTATGGCATATCCATCGGAATATAGGGGTTACATTGTCCCGGATGGAACAAACTCATAAGCTGTATCCTGGAGGGGGGAACACTCGGATTAGAGCGACGTTAGACGCCAGCACTTTGCATCTTTCCCATTATGTCTATGAAGATCTGGGGATTATTTAGAGAGCAATTTGGCTATTCTAGACGATGGAAGATGTGGATTTATCGGTGTCATTACCGCGCATATATGAATACCATGTATGTTGTTTCGGCGTTTGGGGGCACCTTGGTCTCGGTCTTGATCTCGATTGGTGTTTTAGGGTTGGGCAAGGATGAATAGGTCATGACCGGTTATAGAGGTGGTGGAACAACGCCTATTTACCTTATCTGGGTAAATATACAAGTCTCGTGCGCACGGTTAATGTATCTGTCACATCTATTGCATAGAAGCCCGGTTCACTGGCACGGTTATGCGGATATATAGGCATCTATAGAATATACAGAAGGCGGCTTAAAAGTCCCTTATACTATTGACTTGACTCACTGTTATATCATATTGGAGGATAATATCCTTGTAATACGAAAATAAACCACGAAGCTTTTCAAGTCGGGTTTTAAAAATACTGCCATCTTCAATTTTGTACAAGTGTAATAGATCTTCCCCTATAACCCCATGTCTACCTGAGATCCTGTATCGTTCTAACCTATATCTTTGCTGTTGAAGTATAGTAGTTACATGTATATTTAAGAGTTATTTGAAAGGCGCCATTTTAAGAAATTCCATGCGTAGAATATGCACCCATTGTAAAAGAGGGACTCCTATTTGTTATCCGAGATCGAGCAATTTTAAAGGTATAGCTATTGGTTTTCGCCGTGGGCAATGGGCGGCTGAGTGTTGTGCATATACAACCATAAGCTGGAGAACGGCAGGCGAGCGACACCATTAAAGGCGAATCGCCTTAGCGATCCCTGACTTGTGCCTCATCAGCAGACTATACATACTTATTTGTATCTATGAATCCTGATTGTCTCTCGGCAGATACACAATCTACTCAAGGATGAAAATCTTGAGAATTGAAGAAAAAACTATACTGACAAAATTGGTTCTTCCAAGGAGGCCGGTGGTCCAACATGACCATCAACCTCCTGGTCAGTATTGGGGCAATTTCCCTCTTCGTCCTCCTTGACAAAAACGCCTGGCCGTTCTACCTTCCAACTTTTAGCGCCACTGCGTTCGATAAATTGTACCGCCATATCCCAGGCTTCGTGGTCTGCCGCATCACCGCTCTCAAAAACTCGTAGAGACGCCCAGTTTCTTGGGTACACCACGGGGTCAGCGGCAAAGGTAAGTTCGCGCATCAGGGAGCTGTATGCTGTATTGCGCTCCATCCAGAGGTCTGCTGGATCTATGTGCTTCATCTCATCTTCTGCCTCTAAGATCCGGTTTTCAGGCCCGGGGGTCAACTGCACAAAGAGACGGTCAAGCTTTGGTAGATTCTGGAGTAGGATCTCAAAGTGAGATGATAAAGGGAATATGGCGATGTAATTGAAGTCAGTGATAGTAGGCGGTATAAGAGGGGTATCGTTAGGGTGTTCCTCGCATCCAAGGAGGGCCCCAAGCATGGATGGTGGTCGCCGCAGAAAGAATTCATATGTTCGATAAACCTTAGTAGACGAACCTTCATTCAGGAGTAGCGAAGTCCAAGGACGAACGGTGAAGAGCGGACACGGCGGTGGTCTTCTATAGCGGATCGAATACGAGGTAGCGGAAGGACCTGCCGAAGCCACCTGGGTTGTTATCGTAGAAGAATGGTGCTGTGACGAAGAGGGATGGATATCTGAGTTAGATGATTCTGTATGTGTACTCGACTTGCCACGCGGATCTCTAGTCGTTCGGGCGAGTGAGAGAATATGATAAGGAATGCTAAACGACCAGGCATCGTCTAAGAAGAGCATGCGGGATAAGAATGAAGCGAGAGTATTAGGGGGAGTAATGATAGTGAACCTTAGAGGGTCGATGACGGAGAACAGCTGATCCCATAACCATTCTAGATCGACAGAGCGTATCTCAGGAGTGATTTGCTTGGCACCGGCATCCTTATCTACGAAGTCGACGATCATAGTAAAAGTCGTGACGCTGCGACCCAGCCGATTATCTTCTAGGAAGCGTAGAAGTGGTATCGGGTTCAATGTGAAAGCGCTGAGCGAGGATATCTTGGGTCTCCATAAGATATGACGGAATAGGCTAGGGAGCACAAGAGACCGCCAAGTCATGCAAACGAAGGATATGGTTTTGAGTGATTGAGAATATAAAGACTTAGCATCCAGCATGTCGTCGCTCGGTTGATCGCGAAGCCGCACTTGCGACGGAGCCGGGTCATCAAGGAACTCGAAGATGTGTAAGAGTATCTCTGGTGGTATACGATCCATCTCGATTAACAGAAAACTCCAAGTTAATACTTCCAAATGGGATATTATCCCAATTATCCCCTTTCCTTCTAATATTAACAGTTAGACTGCCTTAAGCTGCTTCTATAGGAATAGCCAAGTGAAAGCTACTAATAACATAACTCTGGCATCTAACAGATATCACATAAAGACTATTGATATTTATGTTGATGCTGATATGTAAATAAGATGAAGATAGTAAGCTGAAGTTGCGTCAAGGCTGAAATAACTCTTCTCATTTGATGATGTCTAAGTTACGGATATAGTCGTCGGGGTTCGGGCCAAATCACGTCAAGTAAAGTCAAGTTAGTGGGGGGCAGATAAGGGGGGAGGGGCTATACTCGAGAAGATAATTATAATGGATAACTGCATAGTAGCTATGATATTCCTTATCATACCCAAGGTACCTAAGATAGGTACCTAACATGTAGGAACCGGATTCTGCAGGTAAAGAATTCCCGACCCATAGAAATAACCAATATGGTTCTGAGCACAATAGGTACGATACGTTCTAAGCGTAACTTGTTAGCATCGACGTCATGTAACATTTAAGGGATAAGGACTGGTGGAGTGAAATATTGAAGAAATAAGACTCAACTATAACAATCTTCTTACTACTAACTATAAACATTAACAGGTATGTAGTTTTTAAAATTGTAGTAGCTAAAGTCATATCAGAGGTTCAAAGCGACCCTAGCATCCTACATTGGCCCTTTTACCCTAGATCATTTATATATTATCGGGACCGAAGCAAATTATATATAGCTTTTATACCTTAATACTTACTGATATAAGTGACTGGCGAGGTATAATAGAATATCATGTGGCTCATGATCACGCGAGCTATCACGTTGTATTATTTTTACATAAAACACGCCGTGCACTGTCGTTATAGCTAAGAAGCCTCGACGTTTATCCACCAGCGTAGCATGCTCATGTATACATACGAGTAAAGTCAGCATTGACAAAGGCGGGGGAGTGCAGGGGTTATACGATTGTTGAATATCAAATCGTGGAGAATCGGGGAAATTATGGATATCCAAGGACGGCAATGCGAAAATCGAATCAAAATGCGGTGATGGACAATAGACCTGCCGTGGCTTCTTCTCTATAAGCCGAACATCTTTAATCCCACTAACCCGGATGTAGTAAATCAAGTCGCAATGTTGCTATTAAGATGCATATTATGTAGATACTTTTTTAGCATCAATGGGTCCTTGGGTCCTTGGCCTTATACCCCTCAGAAAAGACCCCTCCCCTCTTATGTAGTTTTAACTTAGCTCCTAACACGATACCCCTTATTCACTCCGCACTCACCCTCCAGTTAACCTTATGCTAGGGAGAGAGGGGAGGGATTGAACCTTCCCCCGCTCGAATTTGGCAATGGGGAAGGAGGTATAGATAAATGGGATGACGTCTAGCTTCTTTCCTGGTTGTTCCTTCTTTCCATTGCTCCTGGTATCCTTGCAAACTTTTTGATGTAGGTAGCAGGTCAAAAGGAAGGTTACTCCCATCTTCCACTTCTCCTTTATAACTTCTGCTCTACCACACAGAATCTAGGTAGTGAGACGTTGAATAATTACCTCGACCTTGACTATTAATCGATAATGCCGACCAACAAGCAGCGACCGCCGTTCCGTGCAGAGCATCTGGGCTCACTACTCCGCCCGCAAGAGCTCACTGAGAAGCGTCTTAAGCTTGCCGATGTGAAGGCTATCGATGTTGCTAAGGACGGGGAGTTACACGCCATCGAGGATAATGCCATTAATGAGATTGTCAAACTGCAGCTAGACCTCGGATTCCATGCTATCAACGATGGCGAGTATCGGCGACATCAATTCTGGGGAACCTTCTTTCCCAACCTTGAGGGATTCGAGGAGATCATGGAACCAGAGTGGGATATGTTCCGGTTGTACGTCCCTGACACCGCCGCGTTTAGTAAGTCTCCCTGTTGTAGCTGAGAATAGTACTTGTTATGTATAATCATTGGACATGTAAGCTAATCCCTTACATCGTCCAGCTGAGAAGGGTCATAAGCCCGGAGAGACAATTGTTTGCGTTAGCAAAATTAAGCATGTCGGAAGTGCATACCTGTCCGACTGGAACTATCTTAAGAAGTTAGTCCCTGCAGATAGAGTAAAGGATTTGAAGATAACACTCGCCGCCCCGAATGGTAAGCCTTTCTATCTAAAATCCGTGACATATCGTTAGGTTAACTCTTTGTAGGTATCATCTGAGATACAAGAAGGGCAAAGCGTATCCAAAGGAGGTATACGCCAACGACGAGGAGTACTTTGCCGATATTGCCAAAGCCTACCAAACTGTAAGTCAATCCCCTAAGTTCCTCGCCTTAACGTGCTCATATTATATTATACTATACGTTTGCCTCTTTGATATATATGACGACTTCGTCACGTATTATATGAGCCGATGTTGATCCTGAATACTATAGGAGTTGCAGCTTCTATATGACAACGGTTGCCGAAACGTGACTATTGACGACCCAAATTTGGCTTGTGAGTGAGATCATCAATGTTTATTATATCGATAGGGAAATATTGACAGGAGCTGGAATTACAGACTTTTGCGACGAGAAGATGTTGGCTGGTTTCAAGGCGGATGGGGAAGATTCTGATGCTCTCCTCGACACGTATATTAAATTATACAATGATTGTGTATCATCTCGCCCGGCTGACATGCATCTGGGCATTCACCTCTGCAGGGGTAACTTCGCATACAGTAAACACTTCTCAGAGGGAGGATACGATCGAATTGCAACGAAGCTCTTTAATAACATCGATGCCGACACGTACTTCTTAGAATACGACACGGAGCGAGCGGGTAATTTTGAGCCTTTGAAGGAGCTGCCACCGCATAAAAATGTCGTTCTAGGCGTCATCACTAGCAAGTTCCCCGAACTCGAGGACATTGACGAGACACGCAATAGAGTGTTCCAAGCAGCTGATATCATCGCGAGCGGCGCTGGTCAGACGCGCGAGGAAGCGCTTAAGAGAATTGGCGTTAGTCCGCAATGCGGATTCGCTAGCCACCACCTTGGCAACGCCGTAACGCGAGACGACATGATTGCAAAGCTAAAGCTTGTCAGAAAGCTTGCTGATACGATCTGGCCGGGTGAGCCATAGAGAGAAATGGTATGTATATTATATATGATGATGATGCTTTGAGTAGAGTCGAAATTATGTATTCAACATGCAGATTTGGAGCGGGAAAGGGAAATGGAAAGGGAAATCTGACAGCGAGCAGCTGAGAACTAGAACAAACGCCAAAAACAAAACAAAAAATCCCGACATCGGGTTTCTTATAACTCAATAGGCTGTACACATGCAACGTGCCACGAAGCATGAATGCTATAATGAAACATGATAAACTGGCGCATTTATACCCAATATGAATTGAACACGCCCCACGGCGTGGTGATACGAATTTAGTGAGTCCAACGATAAGTAGAAGTTCTAATTCTTTAGGATTATCAACGTAGACGCCTCTATTCGTCAGACTTGATATGTAAGTCCCCGTTCTTGGCAAACGGGGCTGAGCCGGTCTTTAGGGGTAACAGGGGTAGCAAGGGTTTACCTTGCTGGACGTGAAAGGGCCAGCGAATTGTGCGTCGAATGCACCGGTAATGCCCACTAAAACATCATCGAATAGAATTATGAAGTTTGTCGGCTTACCGCCTTGAAACCTCCATAGTCGATATTACTGTTCCTAGTTAATTCTTTTCGTTTTTTGGCTTCTACCAAAATAGACCTTCATTCCTTCACACGCTATTCATCGCCATGCCGGAAAAGAAGAGAAGCACCTCCTGATGAGTCTATTACTTTTAGCTCCGGGGTTCACGATGGACCTCCGGACTTGAGACTTCTCCATTACAACGACGTCTACCATGTCGACCAATCCAGTAGCGAACCGGTAGGAGGTGCCGCTCGATTCATGTCACTCATAAAACATTATGAGGAGAATGAGAAGTTCAAGGAGCAGCCAGAGTTGGTAACACTATTCTCCGGTGACGCCTTCAATCCGAGTTTAGAGAGTTCCGTTACGAAAGGTATGCCTTACATACGATGAGCTTATAGAGCTCGAGTGAATGTGAATGCATACTTCGTATCTCATAACAAACTCCGTTCCTTTGAAACTAATAGGCGGGTTTTTATGGATTAAGAAGTTTTTCGCTTTGGGTTTGGTTGCTATCATATACTTTGAAGATCATAGGCTGATATATGAAATTCGGTAGGTGATCACATGGTGCCTTTATTGAACAACATAGGGACAAATGCAGCAGCAATAGGAGTACGTATCAAAGCCAACACTTCCTCGTATAGCATCAGCTGCTTATACGATGAGTAGAATCACGACCTTGACTTTGGAGTCTCACAATTCAAGCACCTTTCCTCCAAGTGCAAGTTTCCATGGCTCATCGCAAACGTATTGGATCCCGCGCTGGGAGACTCAGTTCCCATTGGAAACTGCAAGAAAACTCACATAATCACCTCATCTAATGGTATTAAGATTGGGTTGATCGGTCTAGGCGAACGCGAATGGTTGGCTACAATTAACAGTCTACCTCCTAACCTCATCTACAAATCCGCCACCCAAACCGCAAAGGAGCTTGTCCCACAATTGCGAGCCGAGGGGGCCGACATCGTCATCGCCATAACACACATGCGAGAGCCGAATGATAACAAATTAGCTGAGCAGACTGATGGAATCATTGACATTATTCTTGGAGGCCATGACCACTACTATAATCATAGCCTCATAAAGGGAACGCATGTCTTACGTTCAGGAACCGATTTTAAGCAGATGAGCTATATCGAAGCCAGGAAACGGACTGACGATTCGGGTAGATGGGACTTCGATATCGTACGGCGAGATATCACGTCTGCGATCCCCGAGCATCAGCCAACTGTTGAGCTGGTCGAAAAGCTGACTGCAAGTCTCAAGGCAACACTTCAGAAGCCTGTCGGCTACACTGCTGCGCCCCTCGATGCTAGATTCCGGACGGTGAGGTTAAGGGAGAGCAATATCGCCAATTGGGTGTGCGACATTATGCGCCATTATTATTCAGGCGATTGTAGCATTATGGCGTCAGGAACTGTCCGTGGCGACCAAATCTACCCTCCAGGACCGTTACTACTAAAAGATATTGTACGCAACTCCTAAGACTCACCTTTCATCTACTTTCATCTGGATGTGCGCAAACGCTAACACGTGTTACAATAGATGAACTGTTTCCCATTCGAGGATCCTGTCGTGGTAATCAAGGTTACAGGCCAAGCTATTTGGGACGCTTTGGAGAATGGTTTATCGCAATATCCGGCTCTAGAAGGTCGTTTCCCGCAGGTCTCTAACATTACTTTCAAATTCGATGGCCAAAAACCTACCGGGTCGCGCATAGTGACAGCGACGATCGGCGGGGAGCCGATAGATATGAGCAGGAAGTATGTACTAGTGACCCGAGGCTACATGGCTCGCGGTAAGGATGGCTACGATAGCCTCCTGATTGAGGAGGAAGGGGGGAAAGCTGAGGAGATTGTCTCCGAAGAGAACGGAATATTAATTTCGATGATGCTACGACAATATTTCATGTCGCTCCGTGTGATGGGACAGTGGAAGTATTGGGGAAAGAATAGTATGCTACCAACATCCTTTAACGACCTCGTCATCTCTGCCCCCCTGAAAGTACCTACTTAGTCTAGAAGGCTGCATAAACTAACACACTTCTTAGTCGGTCGATATTGGAACAATGTCGCGAGCAAAGTCAACGCAAACCACGCTCCTCACCGCCCAACAGCAACAGCGACTCCAGTGAGTCCAACAGCAAGAACGAATGTCTCCGGTTGGGATAATTGGACAGCAGAGAAGATTCGGGAGCGGAAGACGTGCCAGCTTTCTGTCGACTCTGAGTCCGACGAAGACAACGATGGCTTGGATAGAGGATACGTCGGTGATATCGAGACGATTGATAAGGAGATGCAGATCATGCGCCGGGTGTTCGCCAAATGGGCGCGGATCGCTAAGGTTGAGAGTCGCGTCGGCGAGGAACTTAGAGAGGGGGACTTCGAGGCTGATTGGACTAGAGCGATTGCACCGCGGGTTGAGGGGCGTATCATCTGTGTCGGGGGCGAGCAGAAATAGGGAGTTGGCAACTCTCTTGATTTGAAGGGATAGAACGGGATCTTTCAATGACTTGATGGCTATGATTATGACGACGTTATGATATTCAGACAATAAGTTAAAATACCGAGTTATGTTATAGAAAGGATTCATTTCAACGCTCGACTAAAACCACAAGACTTTGATCTGACTGTGAAACCAGTATTGCGACTTCATTCTCGGATTTCCCCTACGGTGCCATGGCACAGTCTCTTCATAACTCCTATTTTATGGGGTAAGGTAGGAATTTGGAACAGCACGATTATGGTAAGACTAGGTGCAAGACGGCCGTAAATCATAGTCTAGCTAGATATGTTCTCCGTGTTAGTTGTTTCGAACAAATTGACTCGTAGTGTTTCCAAGAGCTTTTGACTTAAATGGTATTTGGTTTAAACCTCAAGGTGTAAGCAACCTAAGCCTTGGACATGGTTTATTAAACCACCTAGTTGGCCAAGTTTCACTAAGCTTCTAATACTAATCAATATCATAATCTTCGACCCCCTCTTCGTTTACGATCGAGGGGTATTTGCTTCAGGAATGCAGTTTCGTGTAGCGCTAATGAGTACCGATTCTGCGACTACGGGCTCATATAAAAAATGGTGGTTTACATACTTAAAAAGTCTTTCTCTTGACCTTTATTATTCATGGACACTAACACGTCGTCATCTACAACCTTAAAGCCCAGTATATTCCAGCTGACAGCGGTATAGGAATGCTTTGTCTATATTTTAATGTTAATTTATATATCATCAACATCGCCTTAATAGTAGCTATAACAAGCGATAGAGCACTCTTACTTGAAATGGTGCTAAACTAATTATTTGGTATGAGTATCTTATACTAGTTACGGTTGCGGTGCTTTAATAGACGTTTGATCTCACTGTTGGGAATACATCTCATGAGCTATGTAATACCGAGTTTAAAAACCATGCCTGCTGAGGTGATATCGACGAATTCGGGATAATCAGATAGAATGTTTCTATATTAGCTTCGTACCTAAGTTAGTACAGTGTGTATTTCGAATTATAAGAGCTTTAAATACATGATATTTCTAAGCCGTTGAGTGTTGCACTTTGGCCCCCACAATGACCCCATTTATTGTTTTTTTTCAGTGCCAAAATGGTGATTGCTAGAGCGATCGATCAGTATCCTGTAGGGTAGAAAATCACAATCTCTGTAAGATGAGCTTGTACATCAATTAATCTCAGCATAACTCTACGGTGTAATAAAGAAAGATTGAGCATTGTTGTTGCTTGCACTTAGTATGGAAAGATACTCGATTTTGGTAATTCAAAATATTCGGGTTAAATTCATTATAGAGAAGTGATATACAGAGCGTCGCATTTTAACAAGAATGTCCATGCATTCGAGTTGCGTCAATCATATACAAGTATAAGAGTCGTTTCAAATCCAGCCCATCATCAACCCATCCATCCATAACATGTACTGCGTTTGAGTGCGCTCTTAGATGTGTATACATTCTAGCACCTGACTAGGGAGCGAGCGTCCGCCATTTATAGGTTCTTCTTGGCAAAACCCAGTCTTGGGCTTCCCTCGGAACTGTCGAAGACGACGAAAGCCGCCTTCAAGGCAACGTCGCCGAAGATGGAGAAACCGATACCCTCGTCGGACTGGATACCACCGAAGCAGGTGGAGTCATCAACAGGGGCGTAGTTGATGAACTCACCGGGGATGTTGAACTTGGCACTCTCAACGCCGAAGACGAAGTCGGGTAGGCTGGCAGAGCAGGGGAATACGTAGCCACCCTGTTGCTGGTCCAGCTTCGCACCCGATACCTGGCGGTAATACGCAGTTACGATAGAGTCAGGCAACAGAGCAAGAGTAGTGCCGGTGTCAGCGATACCTTCAAACGGGCTCGTCTTGAAGCTGGTGTTACCAACGCCGTATCCAGAGCTAGTGAAAGACCAGAATCCTTGGCTGTTATCAACGTCTGTGTAGGTGATTTCACCAGTATACTTGGACTTGTCAACGACACCAAAGTCGTAAGTACCGGCTGATTATATAGGTTAGCAACTTAATCTCAAAAGCCGTATTCCAAATTAAGAGTTAGCTTACCCTCGTGGTACTTGAGATCAGCAGTCCAAGCCGCGGTATCCAGGCTGGATACAACGTTATCGAAGAAAGTTTTCTGCGGCTTGGGCGTCACCGTGTTGATGCTGCTGAAGGCGAGACCTAGCAGGCCGTCGTTGTTGCTGTCGCTCGTAAACTGGTCGGAGACCTTCTTCGCAGCCTCAACAGCTTGGCTCTTGAATGTAACACCGCCGACGGTAACGACGTCAGTGTAGACGACACCGCTTGATGAGCTGCCGTCACCGTATGAGATATCCCAGCTGGCGCCGCTGATTTTCTTAGCAGTGCTGCTATCGGCCGGGTTGTACGGAGTCTGTCCGTTGATGCTGGCTTTGGGTTGTTGAGTGCTGAATACCCAGAGATCCGATGAGCCGGAATCAAAGTCCAGGTTGAGCACCTGAGGAGGGGTTCCAATCGAGACGGGAGTTAGGTACTGAATATCGTACTGCTCCGGAGTAGCCTTGGCACTTCCGCTATCGCGTCGGAAGACCTTGAAGTCGGCCATAATCCTAGACAACCCATCCGGAAGTTTGACGCCATACTTAAGATACGCTTTGGCTAACTGCGCCGGGCCATGGGGCTTGAAGCCAGGGTTCTTAACTTGAGGAACAGAGAATGTTCCAACCTTAGGTGGACGTGCGGGAGACGCCGTCGCAATGCCGGCGATCGCAGCCGCAAGGACGATGGTACTAGCTGAGCCAACCATAGTGAATATATATCTTAGGAGTGTTTTCGTCTGTATGGAATATACAGTGCTAAAGAGTGATGTAAAGAGTGAATGGTGATAGCGAAAGACTGAGTAGGTATGATATATGTTCGAAAGGGAGAAGCTGTTGCTATAACTAGAAACCTCCTTGCAGCCCGAGGATGGTGAGCAAACAGATATTCCAAACAGGCTGGGCAGAAGGGTATTTATAAAAATACTGGAGCTGAGCAAGTTGTGATCGTGAATTAACAGAAATGGTAGGTAGGTTGAATGGGACAAGGACTAGTCAGGGGGACTGCAGATCTCCCTCTTCCAATCTACGACCGAAGAAACCAGACTCAGATAGATGCAGGTATTAACCGTATGTATACCAGAGCTATTCCATGCGAGTGGGTTTTTTTGGGACCACAGCTGCCGTTATGGGTAAGGAGCTGGACCGAGTAATACAAAGAGAAGTCAATCACGTCTTTTAGGTCAACGTTTAGCTATCGTGATCGACTTAGGTTGTGCGAGGGGGGGCACTGGGGGGGGGAGGCCGGCAACGCTTCTGGTTTGTGGAACACGGCGGCTTGGCAGGTAGATCTGAACCGGCAGACTTGGGACAAACAAGTACCAAGTTTCGTAATGATTGGCCGGCCGTTTTGATATGCTTAATTCATTGCCTAACGGCCGGCCGGCTTACTGCCCTTTTCTGGTACATTCTCCAGTTTCTCCAGTTTCCGCGCCGTTTACATGCAATTCATCATGTTGGCTTTTCTCTCCCCCCAGCAGTTCAGCTGCCCCCGGTCTTCACCTAGCGTGGATCGCTGGTTCGTATTTTCCTTTCCGGCTACGGTCATCCCCGGCCATGGTGTGTTCGGAATCCACATCTCGGGAGCATGTGAGTGAGATATGCATTCGGAAGCCGGGCTGGAGGAGGAGGTGATTTGACAGTTATCAACTGATAAAGAGATGAAAGGGGATAGGGCGCATGGATCACATTGTCGTCAGTGTCTTACAAGCAAGTAGAGCTTTAAGCTTCTTTGGATCTTAAACCAACCACAGTAGTATGTAGATTAGAGTGCGGGCCACGTTGCTACGTAGATGGGCTTGGCTGACTCGTGCGTGCTCTAGCGCGGCTGGACATGCCGTACAGCATTGAAGATCTGCACAATAACGTATTGTTCCCTGTCATATATGTGCCGGCTTGTAAAGTTGTTTCAGATAGGGGCAAGGTTGTTTCTTGGCTTCTCACCACCCATGCCGCTTGGGGGGTGGGGGGTTCTCCTGGCTTGAGCTTGTGCGATTGGCTTCAATATTAACTGCAACTTGACGCTTTTGGCAGGTCGTTGCCGTCATTTTGTTTCTTACCTAGTGAATCATCAACTGTATTCGACCAACACCGCCGACCTTCCTGCTTGTCAGAGTGAGACATCTCAGACCAAGACTAAAGAAAAAAACAAGCCTTTCCCCAGATCTTGGCCACCTTGGCCACCTTGGCTAGATGATATCGCCAGGAACACATGACGTACGAAAGCTTCTTTGGTATGAAATACCTATACGTCATGGTAAATGTTCATCCGCTTCTACAGCGTGATCTTTTTTGTTTACTGTAATTTACAAAATGCTTTAATCTCTATTTAGCATGTGCAGATCCCCTTGCTAGGCTGACTTATTAGCTTATCTACAGAAGTAATTAGCATTAGTATACTAGCGTAAATATCCCGGCGAGAAGAATTCCAAAAAAATGATTAGGATGAAAGTGCATTTTCCCGACCGAAAGGTTCAGGGGATGACAGAAGAGAATGTCACTTCAAGCTGGTGATAGGGCAGAGAACATGCTTAACCAGACCCCTACAATTATCGGATAAAGCTATCCAGCTTAGGTTTTGTCCAACCATATCTCTCTGCGTATTACTGTTTTATTCCCCAGTTTTACAACATATGGACCATCGTCGCACCGTGCGCCCTATTGGATCACGCTGAGTTAATGCAATTAACTGTTCACGCCACTCTTCTCGGGATGACCTTGAGTTGCTGCAATCAGAATTTATTTCCAGTGATCTACACTGCTTCTTGGCAAGGTAGGTATGTAACTAAAACATTCAATATATCGTATCGGTAACTCACTTAAGGAGGTAGATACTATTCGGTCAACGACCGTATTGCACATTCACTCTTCCCATTGACGCCATATCATTCACATTATCAACTTATCCAATTAAGGAAGCTCGTAGAGTAAAAAGCCTATAACAACATATAGCCTCATCGATTTAGTTTCAACGGTCAGCATCATCCTAACAGTTTAACCTATTCAAGCCGAGGCCGTTATTAAGGCGTAGAATCTATTGACAAATCACAAGTCGGCGCGTGGGAACCGAGCCAGTCAAGCCTAAGACAAAGACCCTGACTGCAGAATAACGTAACCGCCGAACGGGTAACTACATGTTATCAATACTAAAACTCAAGAGATAGCTACCTCCTATCCCTGGACTTCTCGAATTATCAATGCCGATGTCTAGGTAGGTACCTACCCATGTTTCCGGGTAACATAACGCATAATTGACACCGACGCCACTGGAGGCTGAGTTGGTGCCTCCGTATTCATGAGAGTTGCCTAATTCGGATACATATATGCATTTACGAATTGAGGCAATCAAGCGAGTCCCAGAGGCTACGAAACAAGCTTTATTCCCTGGTTGATAGCTTACCTTCCCGTCGTAGTGCGTCTGGGCGCATAGGTCTCTATATTAGAGCTTCGTTCCCTCATTCGGCGAGCCGCGGCTTCATGCATTAGGTTAGGTATGCAACACTACTGCAGACTAAGGGAGTCCGCATGTCATGAAGGGTCGGAGTTAGAAAATTGAAAGAATACTTAGAGAAGCTGGAAAGCAATCGTTTATGCACGTATGATTTCCGTATTGCGGCCGGTTCCTTAGAACAACACAGGTCTCGTATAGCTTAGTATATTGTTACTCCTTTTGTTACCTCCCTTACTAAGTTAGATACCTATCAATCAATTTTAAGCATACATTTGTAGCACCACCCAACCATAAGAGCCAGGCACATGGTCACTTTGGATGATAACTGGGAATAGGTTAATTCGCTCAAATGTGAAGTGATCTTTACCCCAAAAAGAAATCACTGTTATGTCAGTTCTCGATCTTTTTACTCATCTAGACTTACCACCCCATTTTCCCAAAGCAGGCGACCGATTCTCATTCGCCTCCTTTTCCCATCGCGCCCACAGTACTCCTTATACTCATAGGTACCCATACGCCTTTCGTCATTTACACACCTTATCCCTAATCTTCTTGTGGCAGCTTTTTAATCTCACACTTATTTTGATAGCCATTAAGAACTTCCAACCAATAGGCAGTGTATATAGGCATAGTTGTAGTCATTTGAGTGTACGCTGGAAAGTGAGCCTAACCTGATGGATTATGCAGCTTAAGGACTATGTGAATAATATTAGGCAGTCGAATGATTCAAATAACAATTAACATCCAAAAGATCGTCTAAGACACCGCACCGGCAGTTTAATATACTCGGACTTCATAGTGAAATATCACACTGAGCGGTACAGAAACATCACGTGATATCGGAAAGAAATCCCCTACCTTAGGTAATCTATATCATTGGTTATCTACCAAGTACGTACATATGTGGCTAACATCTACAAGTTATATAATTAAATGGCGAAGTGATTTCATGACCTGACTAAGGAACTACTTGACCAGCGGAGAATAAAGCCAAAATCACACATAACTCAAGCAAACAGGTGATAGCTAGAAGGAGGCCGAGCATCACGAAAGCTATTATTAAAATCTAGACTGTCTCATCTTAATAAATCTTGAGGTTATTGTGTTTCATTTTAGATGCACCGTGGAATTTTAACCGAGAAAGAATATTATATTTAAAAACCAGAGTTAATAGGTGAACTGAATATTCATACTGTGACGACGTGTTATAATCCCCCTCCCTATCTATCATTAGGAAGATGATAAAAGCTGCATGAGAACCACGAAGCTATCCCTTAACACTGAACTAAGGACACTGGTCGGCATTGACAATGATATTATAATCACCTCCATCAAATGCCTGGCCTTGAATCAAGTTATAGTTCCCCGAAGTCGCGCAGTCCGGCTCGCCTAGTATATCATTAATATGGTCTGCAAGGGTAATACTATTTTGCTGGATCCACCACAGATTATCATTACAGAACCAGACTGCCGCATTCTCCATGCAAGAGAATTTGGTGCAACGCTGAGCATCGACAGATAAGCCTGTAGCGAGTGAGTTCAACCAGTCACGGTTTTTCTCTATGGCGACCCTCGAGGGGGGGGGTAGATTCTGCACATGACATAAAACCTTCTCCTGTTATCCATATGTCAGATCCAACTTAATCCAATGGTTATAAACGTCAAATAGCGTGTTTAAATCCAGCTTACCGTTATACGCTTCCTTAATGGTTTATCCTGACGTCGTGTTATGGATTGGAAGTGTTCCCATGAGAAGTCGGGGTTAAGATTACGTATTTGCATATCGATTTCCTAGATCTCTTGGTTAGGGATATGCCATAGATTCAAGAGCCGCTGCTCTCCAAAACTGGATAATATTTACTCACTTGAATAGTACCGTTGAAGGTCTTCTTAGTACCATCCGAATCAACCACCCCTTCTATAACTAACGGTGCTATTGTCAGGCCGTTGAAAGTTTCAGCTCTAGGCATATTTGCATTATGACGTCGGCTTCCGCTCTGGAAAATATTAGGAATCTCCTTTTTAAGCTTGATATTTACTTGGTTTTCTACCATTAGATCGGCTCGGAGGCCTGCGGCCATTAGGCAGAAACAACTCAATAAGTATGCTTTCATACTGTTATCTTCGACTTGCGGTAACGATGTTGAAAAAAGCGCGGCAGTAGAGATATTGATAGGTAGTGCAAAGGAGGGGAAAAAAACTGAATTTAATATTAGAGACAGTTTGGGGGCCATAGTATTTCCGCAGCTGAGTGTAACCTTTACGGATATTTTTTCGTGAACCATAATCCGTGATTTAGGTTGGTGTTGGTCGTGATATATACGGCCCCCTCGCATTTCTACCTGACCTGTAACTAGGCCGATATATTTTTAGGGTTTCCTAGAGTTTATTGATAGGTACCTATATTCACTAATATATTTTGGAAGTTACTTTTGTTCTAACTTTAGTCGACGTGCTCTATTGATATTTCTCAACCAGTTACACGAGTTATGTCACGAGATTAATTATTCAATAAATTACCATGACTACCCAGTGATTATTCTACTGAGATTCCATATAATATACTAGGCACTCTCGTGACTTAATGAGAGGGCGATGTAAATAATTGATAGTACTGATGGTGTATTTGAATACAGGATCACCACCATTTAAAATTATGCTGACATCTTACTTGCTATTTTGTATCTATGTCTTTAGAATATTGTTTAGTCTATGGAGTAACGATCTCAAATATTCTCTAGTCCTTAGGTACTTTGAACTACGGCGTGTAGTCATGCCAATAATGATTCAAATACGAAATGGAAAATTGACCCTGCTGAACTATAATTCCCCGGGAATTGATAAGTTTTCATTGCCATGACTTAAACTGTTAGAAATACCGAACACAACTATGAAAACTAAAAAAGGAAACCGGCCATCTATTGACATATATTTGGTAACATGAGATCAACTTAAATAAATAGTTAATATAAAAGGTGCTTAATTAAACTATGGTGAGAGGTAACTTTCTCTTAAGACTACGACGACATTGATTCGATATTTCGAACTAGAATAGACTGGTTAAGTCATCGGACTGTTTACCTAGGTAGCAGTACATATTAAGAGGTACCTAGGTACTAATTGTAACGGGTAGTGGGTCTTCTTTACATGTACCGGGGCTTACCGATTGACTCACCTAACCCACCAAAACTTTAATAAGTCCGGGTACCTTATGGACATTTGTTTAGGTACTATTTATAGAACATTAAACAATACATAAGGTAGAAGGTTAGGTACCTACATGACCTCTAACCTACCTTCTTAAGGTACCCAACATAAACAGACCACTCACTTCGTCTTCCCCGTCTCAACCATGGCCTCCTATCCCTTAAGCCCTCGTTTGTCAAGAGGTATGCTTCAGCAACAGATCATTTCTGACACAAGCTGTATTTCTTCTGCTATGCTTCAAGAAATAGCCAACTCAGGTTCCCTGGACGAGATCTCCAATGCGCCTGGTTCAGTCCGCTGGCATATCTGCCGTCATAGTAATCGTGACCCAGATAACAATACCCTACGCAGTTCAATGCTATTTTTCATTTATCAAACTACGCGTCATGGTCCCCAGAACGGGTTTCGACTCTGCATGGTACATCGAGGATACTATATTGGCCCGGACAACAAGTCTAATATCGGTGAAGATGACATCGACCTCCTAGAGAAGCCTATTCCACATGGTCATAAAGAATTAGCCATTCTAGGTGTGCCGTTCTGTGTTTCCTCCTCTGATGAGTCGGACGAGAACTCTGAGATTAACATATCCTCCGACATATGATACGAATAACGATCCCGACACTCCTATAGTTGATGCAAACCAGCACATTCCGCCCAATGTTACACGCGACTTAGACTATACTACGACTGGTTAGGAAAATGATCCGTTTAGCAACACACATCCGGCTGTGCAAGCTGATAATATTGAAGGAGATTCTCCTCGCATAAATTCAAATATAGATGATATCATTATGATGATCAGACATTTTTATTGATTAGATAGAGATGCTTAACAATTCAAGGGGGGACACGCATGCAAAAGAAAGAAGGGAAGGGCTTATACTGGTGAAGATATGAGGAATATATATATTGAGAAAACAACTATTTTCGTCCTCGGAAACCCAGCAAAGGATGGTATTGGCTCGCACAAATAGTTGGGATGCTTGAAGCAGGATTGATTAATGTATCTCCCTTAGGTCAATACTCTCTCGCGTAAATTTCCTCCTCAACTCTTGCTATATAGTATATGATAACTAGGTCTGGGTTTTAGATCATTGATTATGGGTAGCCTGCGTCACCTGAGTAGAATCGCCTAAGTCTAACATCATAATAGAAAATCTAACTACATTATGGGCGGTGTAAAGATGCTATTCTATGGGAGCAAGAAAGCATGGAAGCAGCTTTCTCGTTCTACAAGGAATTCTGGAAGTCCAACAACTTGCTAGATCAAGGGTCACCCACTCACTCTTACGGCCTCGGTGTTCTGCGCTAAGGCATACCCTCTTTCATACCCCTTTCATATATAATCCCCTAATTAGTATCAAAATTGACCCTATCATGAGTTGCAAGTAATCGTTTCTGGTAAATGTGAAATATGTCTCGAAAACCTCAATATTAAGAGTAGGTCATAGCCACTAGCAGTTCGTCATAGTAGATATATGAATATACATGTCTCTATCTCTTTTAACAAATTCCAAGACAAAGGCCTCGTAAACCGTGAAATATTCAGCAGCAACTATAGCTTTAACTCTATATAACGTTGATAATAAATAAAAGGTAAATATATGTACATGCTCGGATTTTGAAAACTCCAAATACTATGACTAAATGAGAAACCCCACCCAGCTTAAAAGCCGCGTCTACTTGGATGCATGATAACTATCGGCTTTTAAGAACCGAAAGCCCTGACCCTTGCAGCTTAGGATTAAAATATTCTGGGGTTTAGATGGAACCTCTTTTTCTTCTTCCCTATTTGTGAGGTGGGATGTAACGTAGTTTTTCAACTTCGCGATGCGCTGGCGGTTGTTAAGCATTAGGCATTAGACCTTGTAGCATATATCTCATCTCAGTGGTTACCTAGTATAACCATCCATGGGAATTCTAAGTCCCGGCGTGATGCCTAATGACATGTCACAAAGACGATGGTTCGTTAGTAAAAGTCTCTCGCTAGTAGGGCGTCGATACTCTGTATATTTGACGACGATACTACATACTCTAGGAGACAGGGCCGAGCCTCAATTCCTCCCTGTATTACTGCCTACAGAATTCTTAGCTCATTCCCAATCTGTCGAACTTCATAACAGGCATCTATAGCGGTAGCCAATCGGACTAAGACAGCGCGTATTTAAATTGGTTCCTTTACGATCCTTTTATATTTACACTAATCTCAATTCCGCCGAGTCGTCCCACTTCATTATGCCTTTCCTTCAGCTCTGAGCTATTCTTCTGGTCTAGACTCGCATCTGCCTATTAAAAAGACTTGTGAGGCTAATCGCCTCGCATCCTACCGTACAGGGCATAAATAATTTCAGGGGCAATAGAAAATAAATATCTACTGCTGCCCATCATGTTGTCAGGTTCTCACCAGCTTGCTAAGCGCACATTCATCTACATAATCAGTCATTCGCCTTAAGTTTATAGCTTTTCCCAAGATGTTTGCCCAACTCGCTCTCGCTTCTCTCCTCGCCGCCGCTCCGTTGGCTAAGGCAGCTCAGAACGTAACTGTCAAGGCGCTACCCTCTGAGGATTGCTCATCTTATCCGGGTTACGATACCGCAGCTAACACAGCCGGACCCTGGCTCCTTCAATTAGTTGATAGCGATAATGTCGCTATCGAGGGATTCGGTGACACTTCTGCATATTCGATCTCCTTCAACCCTGATGTTGATCATAAGCCAACTATGCGATGGGGTTACGTGAGTAGTTGAATTTTTAAATCTTGAAAATCTTGATCTACGAGTATTCTAATTGAGAGGCACAGATCACCTTCCCAACGAATAATCAAATCGCCAAGACCGCCATAAAGTGTGACGGGGGTATCCTCAAAGCTTGGGTATCTACCGATCTGACAGCCGCGGGGGCCCCTACAAATACCCAATGGTCGGAATTGCTATTCCCTGAGAATGAGCCGTATGACGCTCCTTTGCTATGGAAACTCACCGACGGTATCGCACCCCAGATCTTCGAGCATTATATCGACGGCGAGAAGCAGGACGGTGTGTTCCTAGGTGCTTACAATACTAGCACTAGGTGGGGACTCAAGTACAACCCGGCAAACTCGGGATCCTCTCGCCAGGATTTCTATTACGCACGGATCTTGGGACCGAATAGTGCGGATCCCGTTACCGGTGATGCCTTGCATGCAAATGAGACCACGGCTTTCATCAAGATCTCGGCATAGATACTTACGTATTACTAGGCAATTGGAGTGGATTGGGGTTGACTGAGATATAATTTAGACGATTTACGAATAACTTCATAAGAACAGAAGTCTAGTTAATATGATAATCAGTATATGAAGGCATTATTTTTAGTAGTTAATATATATTCGGGATGCTGGGATACAGAACTACTTTCGAAGAAGTAAACCAGCAATCCTCAGGCATGTTGCAGTTCCGCTCAAGTTACCAATTCTCTTGATCGATTATTTAATGTCTTCATCTCCCTGTATCATCACGCTGCGGTATGGCATGCTGCTACTTGGTTGGCCAAGGGGGTTCATCTTTGCCAGTACGTTAATCACTTTCTGGGCATCAAACCATAGTCTTGGGCCGGCTGTGCCTACCCGATAACCTTTTAGGTATCTTGGTGAGTCGAAGTACTTGCGGCTGAAGTAACTCTCTCGGGTACCTGATACCTCAGATATGTAGGTAGTTGCTGTGCAGTTGCTACGACAAATTCTAAAGCCCCCTCCTTCAAAAAAGTTCTTTCCCTCGTCTTATTTAAATTAGAGTTGAGTACCATATTGGGCAACTGCCAACTCAATAGCTGGTAGCTACCTAGGTAGGTGCAAATGCGGATGGCTTTATCTTGTCAATAACTTTCTACATCTCATATTAAACTTACATTGAACTTATTAAACTGAATAGCAACGATAAACACAATATCTACAATCGCAAATAAGACGCGTCAAGATGCGTTTCCTACAAGCACTCTTCATTGCCATCGGCCTCATAGCCTTGGCTGAAGCTGCGAAGCATCACCTTATCGTTGGTACCTTCAGCACCAACTTCCTCTACACCGTCGAGTATGACGACGCAGCTGAGACCCTGAAACTCGTCAAGAATACTACCACTAATGCAGGTAGCGCCTGGATCACTCTAAGCGTAAGTCTATAACCTAAAAATATTAAACTAAATAGTGACAGTCACGCGTTCCTGGACTAACTTGCAATAATCATAGCATGACAAGAAGAACTTGTACGGAACTGACTGGAACGCAGACGAAGCTTCTTTCGTTAGCTACAGCTTGAAAGATGCCGAGTCTATTAAGTACGAGGCTAGAGTGTTTGGAGACCCTGAATGCCGAGGCAAGAAAAGCATCTTCGTCGCTGCTTATCCCAAAGCACCCTATAGGTACGTGACATATGCATTATGACCATACATATCTTATCAAATTGCTAACTCTTATTCCCACAGTGTGTATGGCAATTATCTCTACGGTGATGCGAAGTGTGGTATGGTCATGTCGGTACATGATAATGGAACTCTCCACGCCGCACTACAACAGTACGAGTACGGGGATGATTCTGCTGTAACTGGAACATCATTTAGCGCTGATTCAAAGTACCTCTACTCGGCCGATGACGGTGGTAACTCAATCTGGGTCCATGCCGTCACCGAAAAGGACGGTAGCCTTGACTTCCTCTCGCGAGTTGACATGCCTGTGAAAGGTGCAGACCCTCGTCATATCTTTGCCCATCCCAAAGGGCAATACGTCTACACCGTCTGGGAGGGAACTAGCGAAGTCGCGCAGCTAATGACTAGCGACCTCGGCAAACTATATCTCCTACAGCAAACGTATCCTCTTATCAAAGACGGTGACAAGGCCTCAGATTTCTGGGCTCATGAGGTTGCCCTTTCCGCCAATAACAAGTACCTTTGGGCAAGCAATGGTGCATCTGATTCGAACCACAAGGGATACATTTCAGCTATCAGTGTCAACGACGAAGGCCTCCTCGGCGACCAGCTCTTCCTCACCCATACTACGTCAAGCGGTGGTTCTGCCAATGCTATTGCCCCAAGCTCGTTTGACGACAGAATTGTTGCCACAACCGATAACTCGACAGGCTCTGTTGAGATATGGAAGATGAACGATGACAAGTCTGGGGTAAAGGTGGTAGCTCATCTAGATATTGACGACGGCGGTGGATGTTGTGCTAATGCCGTTTGGTACTCGTAGTTTTATTACGATGTCGACCAGGTAGTTACTTCGCTTCTTAGTTGATTCGATGAGACTTTCATTGATGTAGGTGTGGTAGTTATGCAGCATCTCGTAGATAGATGTATCTGAGCAATACAAAATGACTTGCCACATCATCCTTCTTCTGTGCTTACCTTATGCCAAGACAAATATATTGCATTCATTGATTGCATAAACTTCGCATTGAGTAATAATTGTTATAATCGCGTGCAAAGCGGGGAACGATCTTACGTAATAAAGCCTCTTATCTCACTAAATATTTCCTTTTAGGACTCGTTAAACTTGAAGCTTTGGACCCGAGACCAGCTTCATTATTACGCCTATATTTGATCTATTATATCATATCGAGAAAGAATATGACCTCTAATATCCCGATGGATCAGCAAAAGGTTTCAGTGCTTTTTGTTTGCCTTGGCAACATATGTAGATCTACTATGGCTGAGGGAGTCTTTCGATCTATCGTGAAGGATCGGTCATCTCCTTACTACAATCTCGTAGATAGAGTGGATTCTTGCGGGACAGGTGCGAATAACTAACTATATCTTATATATCGTCTTTACGAATTAGGAGGTCCTGTGCTAATATTATTAAAATAGGTGGATACCATACTGGCGACGAACCCGATTCTAGAACGATGTCAACCCTCGAAAGCCACGGCATTACGAATTACACGCATGCGGCGCGTAAGGTTAGTCTTAATCTAGGATCTAGTCCCATCAGTAAAATACGGGCAATGAATCTAATCTAATAAATGGTTTACAGCTCCGCGATAGTGACTTTCGAGAATTTGACTATATATTCGCAATGGATAAAGCGAACCTAGAAGATCTCAATCGATGGAGGGGTAGAAGCAAAAATCCGTCTAGCTCCAAGGCACAGGTCATGCTTTTCGGCGAGTTCTCCGGCACGGGCCGTAAGGAAGTAGTGCAAGATCCTTACTACGTCGGTCAGGATGCTTTTGAAAAAGCATATGAACAGTGCAAGAGATTCTCAACAAACTTTCTAGAGCAGACATTTTCCGATGCCGGTAAGACGACGATGGCATGAGCCTAATAATACCCAAATATTTGTTTTCCTGTCTAGATCATACACGGGCCAATAGACGTTACAAGCATATGATAGAGTCTACAGATAGAGTCTATAGATAATGATAGGATTTATAGAGACGAGCAACGATAGATCATATCTAGTAACTAATCCTTTTCTGTAGGAAGTTGTAGGAAGTTGTATTGCAATATTAGCTGGGCGAATATAGATCAAGACATTGAGTAACTGGGCTGGTAAGGCAGCGGAAACAGAGAGTTGCTGTTGTCTTACAAGCTGCAACCTTGATATTGGATCTTTTTATGAAACAAGCCAATAGAGTTGTCCAATGCCTGTTAGAATAGTGCGGATCTAAGTCGTATTGGTGTAAGATTTTTGGGGGCTAAAATGGAATCTTCCCTCAGCCTCAGCTCAGCCCCCTAGAATAACAGACGAGGACTTTAGTTATCACATGTTTATAGATAAGCTCTGCGTCTTGTATTAAGATGATCTGTCAACTTATTCGAATTTATAGTCCGCTTCTTGGATAAACATATGAAACATTGTAATTAATGACTATCTATCTCTATATATATACCGTAAACTTATATACATTATACCGACTTTGAAAATTACTCTTGAAATAGCCTCTTTCTTCTATGATGCAGTCTAATCATTGGCTTATTAGCTAGGTAAGCGCCTATAAGGCGAGCAGGGGGGCTCGTTGGCGCTGTTTTCATTGGACCCAAAAATAGCGGGACAGGGCTCGAAAAGTGACCAACCACAGCTGTTATCAACTACATAGGTAGCCGCTGCCATCTTGCGGGGAACATCTCATTTGTTAGGTACAGGTACTTTTAACCATTAGTGGTACCTAGTACTAGGTACGTACTTTGTTAGGCGGCGGACCCCTCGCGCGCCCCTCCAATCTGCCCTGTCCCCTGAAGCCTTTGGGTCTAAGCAACTTCCCCTCCCCCTCGACTCCTCAAGATGACTTGCCCATTTAAGTTACACAGCGCATATTTTCTTTCTTTGACACATCACCGTCGCTATTCTGCCTTGGGGGTCATTTTGATCTTTTTTTATTACCCCTTGGAGCTACATCGCCCCATTAGTTTCATTATATTAGAAGTTTGGTCGACGTAGTAGTTTTGCAAGTCGTCTTCCTTTCTTGTTTTTTAAATAGTATCCTATCCCATCATCGTCCATAAGCTTCGCTTACTATCCGCCCACCCACTTGTCTCCCGTCAGCTTTGTCGTCATTATATCTATTAACGATCGACTCTCTTCTTTGATACTTGGATACCGATTCCATTGTTAAAGAGATCCGTCCGTTCCCCATTCCCGATTAGATTATCGTCGTCCTTTGCTTTAACTAGACACAACGTCGAACCGATTCCTGTCGCAATCCGATTCGAGTAACTAAGCCCAGTTCAAGCGCAAACCCGCAGATAGTCACCTAGAATAAGAGTGACCCTGAAGATTGACTTTCATCATGTCCGACCTACAAGGACGCAAAGTCTTCAAGGTTTTCAACCAAGACTTTATCGTCGATGAACGATATACCGTCACTAAGGAACTAGGGCAGGGAGCTTACGGTATTGTTTGGTTCGTGCGCGGTTTAATTCAGCCTTCCCCTTTTGCCATCAGTTGGGCGTAGAGTAGCTAATATCTCGTTTACGATAAATAGTGCTGCAGTAAATAACCAGACGAACGAAGGTGTGGCCATCAAGAAGGTTACCAATGTCTTCAGCAAAAAGATCCTAGCTAAGCGCGCCTTGCGCGAAATCAAGCTCCTACAACACTTCAGAGGTCATCGAAACGTAAGATGTCGCTATTCTTTGTGTCGCGTGATGCTAGATATAGCAGCTATTGATATTGTAGAATGGGATTGCTGATTTTATTTGAATACTTAGATCACATGTCTCTATGATATGGACATTCCTCGACCGGAGAACTTTAACGAGACATATTTATACGAAGGTACGAAGCCAGCCTACACCACTAACAGTCCTCTTGCTTACTGGCTTGTTGCGCAGAACTAATGGAATGCGACTTGGCTGCTATTATTCGTTCCGGGCAACCCCTTACCGACGCCCACTTCCAATCATTCATCTACCAGATCCTTTGCGGCTTGAAATATATTCACTCAGCAAACGTCCTACACCGCGATCTAAAGCCAGGGAACTTACTTGTCAATGCTGATTGCGAACTGAAGATTTGCGACTTTGGTTTAGCCCGTGGCTTCTCGGTTGACCCTGAGGAAAATGCCGGTTATATGACTGAATATGTTGCCACGCGATGGTACCGTGCGCCTGAGATTATGTTAAGCTTCCAGAGTTATACCAAAGCTAGTGCGTGGATACCTTGCCTTACTTATGATACCAGTTATTAACCTCTTTTAGTTGACGTTTGGTCCGTGGGGTGTATTCTTGCCGAACTCCTTGGTGGGCGACCCTTTTTTAAGGGACGCGACTACGTCGACCAGCTCAACCAGATCCTCCACATTCTTGGAACACCTAACGAAGAGACCTTACTACGCATTGGTTCCTCTCGCGCCCAGGAATATGTCCGAAATTTGCCCTACATGGCTAAAAAGCCCTTCCCAACCCTATTTCCCAATGCCAACCCCGATGCGCTGGACCTCCTTGATCGCATGCTAGCGTTCGATCCATCTTCACGTATTAGCGTTGAACAGGCCTTGGAGCATCCCTATCTCCACATTTGGCATGACGCCTCTGACGAGCCCGACTGTCCCACCACCTTCAACTTCGACTTTGAGGTTGTTGACGATGTAGGTCACATGCGCGAAATGATCAAGGATGAGGTGTTCCGATTCCGACAACTAGTACGCACCGCACCAGGAAGTGTCGGGCAGGCTGGTGGACCGCAGGTGGCGGCTGGTCAAGTGCCGATGCCTAGTGGTGGAAATTCGCAATGGAGCGCCGAAGACCCTCGACCCCAAGAATACACAAACCAGATGGGGTTAGAAGGGGAATTGCAGGGTGGTCTTGATGCCAGCGTAAGAAGATAGAATCTCTTCTTCCGGCACCCTTAGGCGGGGGGAGGCATTGATGCCCCCAGAATGAAGGAAAGATGCCAGAGTTTCCCAAGACGATTTAGCCGCTACAACCAAAAAATTAGAAGTAAAGATTATTTACAGTGGTAATACGACGAGTGACCCTCAAAATGCGCCCGAGAGCGTGTTTACCCAAGTATTGTCTATTTTTGGAATGGATGAGAAGGTAAATTGGGCGACACGCCCAGCACCCGTCAGCGAATGAGAATTTCACGATGAAAGAAAATGGGGTTTCACTTTTCTTGCCAGCCGAGAAAGAGCTTTAAATTAGTAATTTTCCGGTCATGGGTTACGATGAATTTTAAAAGAACAAGCTCTTAACAATCTTGAATTATACAATCGTGCATTGATACTACGTCTGGGAATGAGTTGACCGAGTTGTACCGAGTACATCAGTATTGAGCCGAGGAGCCCAGATGGCAACGTCTATGCGTACCTATACCTATATCTTAACACGTGCAGAGCAAAGTGATACACTCTATTATAACCCGTGCCAGAACGAATTGAAGCTGTCTTGAAAGTAGAAAAGGCTTATGTGCCACTTGTAGTCCTCCTGTAGGAGACTAGGCCCCTCTTTAGGTAGTTACACATGCTTCGTACATAGTTTACCAAAAATCAGTTGAGCTTCTATATGCATTATGAGCTGCCTAGATGACTACTGGCCATCATTAACCACCGTGTCTCTTGTATCAGCGTTACCCATGGTTGATGAGCCATTGCGCATATGCCTGATACTAGCCTCATTAAAGATTTCCGTAGGGCAAGCCCTATTCACTATCCTCGAATACCGGTAAGCTTAGGGTACAAAGTCGACTGTGACCTTAATGGAAATCGTGTCAAGATGTGAACAATTTTTGAAGACAAGCAATGTACAATGTTTTTCTATCAATATTATATCTTTATATAGACTAGCTCTCATGCCGGGGAATAAGATACAGGAAAATTAAAAAAGGGGTATATCCTGCCTTGATTTTGAGAGTATTACGATGTAAAGACATATGCTACACATCGAAGTTACAGATACTCCCAATGAAAAGTAAACGTAACGGTAAGGGATACCAGTCCAGCTTAAGAACGTATAGTCGCGCACGCGACCCCTACCCCTCCTCGTGTCGCAAACCCAACCAAAACGCCGTGATCCAGCCCCAAACCACCGGGAATCCCCAGTCCAACCCAATAGCAAATCAGATTCACCGCCCAAACTTTTCCTTTTGTTACTTCCCATTTCTTATCTTTCTCTAAAACCTGACAGGTATGCTCAATTTTCGTAGATCCAGTATTGTGCAGCGTACGGTATGCTCTGCGTCTGGCCGGGACTGCCACATAGCTCGGGGTTTCCACCGGCAGTGAGTACACGATACACAAGACTTACGCCGGTGCTTGTGCCCTTATCGCTTAGACGTAGCCAGTCTACGGCGCCGGTAGCCGGGTCGGCCCCCTTATCAGCGTCGCTTGGTGCTGGTATACCCGCGTCCTTTTTCCCCTTGAACAGTTCACCATCGTCCGCACCCGATAGGTCGAACGTGGGGGTGTTCGCCTCATCGAAGAAGTGATGTCCTAGGAACTTTAGAGGACTGGGTATACCCTCTACTGTTAGGTCCGCAGGTGCCGGAAATGGAGAGCCACCTTCTGCCGCCAGGTTAACTGGCATATCTGTCTTGCGTAGTACCGTAGAAGCAAAGGCATCGAAATCGTCTACTGAGAGAGAAGACGGAGAGGCTCCAGGATACAGGTCTGTGATCTCCCATACTACTGCTAGAGCACCAAAAGATGCGGCTGTGGCCCCTTCTGCGCTGCATGTGTAGTTCTGAATCCCGTGACCAACGAGGATGTGCTTTAGTGTAGCGGCGTCGGGACCGGCGAGCTGGGTACCAGCTACTGGGATGTTAGTTTTGCTTTCCTCTTGTATAAACTACATGATGTATATAAATAGGAGGCGAGTTGAGTTGATTTACTTACAACCGGTGGTGGGCAAAGTAGGGACAGCTGCCACTGGAAGCGCAGGAGAAGGGTCGGTAGGGGTGGGGGTAGTGCTGTTGCTAACCCTACTACCGCATCTACGCCGTAAAGGGGAGGCGGAGGTGAGAGTCAAGGCCGATAATATGATGAACAAGCTTCTAGGATGCATTTTGACAGTTCTAGATTTAAGCAGAGAGATGTATGTACGATCGAGAAAAAAAGGCTTTAAAGAGAGTATTATAAGATAACCGGGCAGGACAGAGCGAGAACGACAGTACAAATGCACTTTTCAACAGTAAACAGGGTAGTAGTGCAAGCGGTAGCTGAGGACGGTGTAATGTTTCTTGGCTGGCCGTGGCCGTGTGTCGTGTGGGTGGCGGGCGAATAGCCGGCCAGCGCTTAGGGATAGAAATAGCAGTATGCGAGTTGTATGCGCGTACGGTGGTATTTCCAAGGGTATGCAATGCAAGATGTGAGAGAATGGCTTCCCGAGCCGAGATTTGACGTGGTCGGTTGACGAAATTGAAGGTGGAATACGAGCCCGAAAGAGAAGAAACAGCTCGGACGTAGGAACCCAGAAAGGATGCTTAAAAAACAACAAGAATAAAGATAGAGAAGAAACGATGAGAGTGATGATTCTGTTAATCGTAAACTTATATCAAGGGATCTATTAGAGTTTATATCTAACAACTTGTCTTACATATCAATCATGGACTTTCTTTCTATACCAGTAGATCTTCCTAGGCTACAATGCAGGATGGAGTATGTACTTTGTCTTTTCCTGTCGTGCAGCACCTGCAAAACCCCGGCTGGATGAGATGCGTATGTTGACGCCATGATCAAGGGTAGATAGTGCTTGACAGAAGCCTCTAGCCGGGGTTGAAGAGAAATGTACTTCGGGCCTTGAGATAATAATAAGAATAAAACACCGGGATGGCGTTTGTAATGTCCACGCTAGAAACGGCGTGGCGGCTGACGGGAAAGGATATCCCCACACAGCGGGAGTACGCTGGACGGAAAGCAGGTGGCTTTTTGTGCAGAATGCCAAATGCTACCCATCCTTGGAACCGAGCCTGTTGTCTGGTTGTCTAGGCCTTTAAGGATTGCCCAGGGTCTAACTTATTATGTCTATTATATGGGGACTGGTCCCGTCGGGCGAAGGATCACCCAAAGAGCTGGGGCCTCACGCCTTGCATATTCGGGCTGTCGGATGCCTGTAAGTTTTACTTCTCAATGTAAAGCTGGGAACAGAGAAGCACTACCTAGCTCTCCTCCCGGTCAGCCATCCGCTTTCGTAAGGTGGTACAGATCATCGCATATATTTATGTAGGCAGGCTGCAATTCTCTGCTTCGTTGGAGGCCCTTAGGACTTGTACAGTCGTATGTACAGTCGTATGTACACTGGCTAGTCAAGGTGGCAGTGTTGCGTTCTCCGCGAAAGCGTAATAGCAGCACAGAGAGTTCGCATCCGATGTCAATAAAGAGAGGTCGACAATAAATGTCCCTAGGTAATCTCTAGAAGATATGATGGATTAGCTCGGGTAGCTAGATTGGCGTTGAATCCTTCAGCTCTTAGCCTCAGACCGTTCAAAAAACGACGATGACTGCTAACAGGGCTAAACCTGGGATCAGTTGACGTTTGTAATCTTGGTACCTAGCTGGTCTAGCAACTTGACGGGGTGGCTGAGATTTCATAGTATTTCAAAATGATGAGTGACGCTGAACCCTGCACATGTTACAAAAGGCTGCTGCTCACGAAGTGATGCAGGGACAGCACAGATGGATCAGATGGATAGCTAGAAAAGGAAGATCGAAGCTATTGGAGGAGAAGCATGTCTAGGTCATGCTGGCTGCCGTCAAATTAATTGAGCATCAGCGCGTTTCCGACCGGGTGCGCGGCTATCTAATGGCGTCTTCTTCTAATTACTGCTGCTGTGATTTATTCCATGGCCAATTTTGATAGCACCATCATAAGGTACAAATATTGAATTTAGAGTAACTTAGAGTAACGAGTCGCAGGGGGGTGATTGTGACTTCATTTCGATATAACCTCTGACTGGTTGAATAGGCGACCTCCCGCTGCTCTACTACCCGCCTTTAACCCAACCCTAGTCAATCGAACCGGGAGCGAAGTTGGTTATGAAGCAATTTTCAATAGAATTGACCGGGAAAGGAAGGGATGTTAACGTGCAATTCGTCTAGATTTTTCGAAAAGAGTTGTGAGATTCCTGATAATTAATAGATCTGATAACATGGATTCGCAATCCTGACGTAAAATCTATGCTGTATAAGCCTTTACTCATAAAGAGCCCTGTATTATCCAAGGTAGAAATATAGAAGCTTACGAAGTCGTTAGGAATCATTTCTGTCGGCAGACCTTCTGAACATTTTTTTAGTATGTAGGTATTTATATTTAAGCAACTCTTATACTGCATGTACCTATATGATTACGATGTATCTGTACTACATAGGCTCGGGTTTTCGGCTTCGAATTTTATGTAACTATGCTAAAAGGTACTAGGTATCAAGGAAAAAGAAAAGAAAAGAAAAAGTCCACGCCATGTTATGACAGCATAATCGAATCTGGTACTCCCTGCATTTTCATGTGCCACCTAACTGCATCAAATCGGTCCTAAAAGAAAAGAGAGAAAAGCACATATATTATTATAAAGACTGCGCCTGATGCGATAATAATCCTTCAGAGTAAATGGCTTTGTCCAAGCGTATCATCGCCCGGTAGTCGGGATAATTTCAAGCATACCTAGGTAGCCTTATTGCAATACCGCATAGGTATAGTATCTCAGGGTAGTGAAGTGAATTGCAGAAGCTTAGCAGTTGAGATATTCCATTGATGCATCAGTCATATGGAATCATGCCGTTTCACCTCTCGATCCTCAAGATACTCAAGATACAACTAACATAGATCTCAAATCAATGTACAACCTACTTTCACAGATATAATAACTAGTATTTGCTTCATCTTATATATTAACTAGGCTTAAATGAAGCTAAGTTGGGGATGTTTCGTTTTATGCTTGTTCGCTATGTTTGATGTTTTGTTCTACCTAGCGCAACACGGAATAGATTCCTCGTGTATGTGTGTACTACTTCTTTTTCTATTGGCCCCCTTGCTACTGTGTATAGGGCTAATACTGACCTTAAGTAAACCCGGTATGATGAAACACGCTCTGATCATCATAGGATCAGAGAGTTTAAAGTGACGGAATAGCTCTTAATCATCTTATCATCTTATGTGTTACTAGTCCCGATTAATCTAATCTCCCCCTCACTGGTATGGAATTACGGAGTGAAGTTACCGACGCTTCGGATCCAACAATTCAGATGGTGGTTAATGCTCGTTGATATTGACAGGGAGTACAATTAAATAACGAAGGAGGCATAGGCCAACTTCAGCCTCGAGCCTTATTCTATTGCATCTTACATAATTATTTACCTACATACCTTAGGTACCTATGAGGTATAAACATATTACGTAACTTAGCTTTTAAAAGACTGACGAGCATCACGATCCCCCTTTAACTAGCGCCTACATTTGATTTCATCTCGCATCGTTTTTAACAATTTTGGATTCGTAATGCTATACCTAGCTCTATCTCCTTAGAATAGGCCAAGCCGATGATTCACTTAGGTACGATATGCCTGGTTTAACCCATCTGTCTTCATGATCAGACCCACCTTGCCGAATTACATAGCTTTCACTTATGAGACACATTCGGCAAGGTAAGTACTTTATCATATTAGTTAGCTGACGAACTTCCCCACTCTCAGTAGGTTAATCTGAAGATGGCACATTAGGACGACCCCTGGTCAAGCACAAGCGCGGCAACTGATGCAAGTTGAACCAAACGGACTTCGCACCCATTCAACTATGGAACCCGTATCGGCATTATGCATATGGTGTTACTTGTCTTGCTATTTGAAGAGCCATCGGGTGTATTCTTCCTCATGCGGAGAAGCACATATTAGTCCGTAATGGTGGTACGAGTAGGGGCAATCATTTGCTGCGGATACGCGAGTCGGTCGCGTTTGATATGCGACCACGAGCCCGCCATACCCGAAATCTCCCAGGTCTGCTCAGAAAACGGACATACTCCTAACTACACGCAACTATGTCAGAGGATCTATAGGCTCAGGATAGCTCAGCAGCGGTTGTCACCGCCTCGGTGATGGCAGAAAGGTCGCTTGATCGGCCGCTTAAGCGGAACTTGTCAGTCAGTTTTACGTCCAGCCTAACACACGGCCATCCACGCCGTGGGTTTGCCTTCTGACATTTAGTCTCGCCGTCGGATGCACATGATTCGTAATGAATGCAGCTAAACACCAACAATCTGATGTTTGCGTATGTTCTTAGCATTCTTCCCCCCGTTGGGAGCCATATTTTCCTTTCCATAGTTCAGTTAGCATTCGGATGCAGGTATCAATAGTCCGAGCAACCATGGATATGTTACCCAGGTGTATCGATATCCTACGACGACCACTTGATAATATACGTCAAAGGGTTGATACTCTAGCCTACGCAAGTGTGGCATCGCTGTGGAGGGTTAATCATGACAGGTGAGTCGGCATGCAACAGCGCTTTAGCATAAGCTTTTCGTTGGTAGACAATATGCCTTGAATCTTTGATCGTAAAATCCAACTCTTTATCCCAGTGACTCCGTCTTGCCCTACGAAATTACAAGCTGCCTACACAGTTACGAATCCTCCAATATCCACAATACAAGAAATTAGCCTTGACTCTATAAGTTAACGGGATAACCAGTAACTAGGTATCGGCTTAAATATATCCTCGATGTCCATGTAATAAAGAGCAATACACTGTTCATACACACTACAAACCTTCTTTTATAGATACCTGTTACGATAATTCTAAATATTATCACATAAACAAATATGAATTCAGTCAAAAGATACTCGATGCCCCCTAGCATACACGTATATATGACGGGGTCTCATTATTTAGTGGTAAGACATCACAACCAGAACCGCCGTTCGTTAAAAGCTAGATGAGCGGTAAAAATATAACCGATACTCAACCAAGTTTCAATTCCACAGCAATAAACTCATCTAAGCCGAGACTTTCACAAAATCCCATAGCGTACCATGATCAGTAGTCTCGACTAGCTTAAAATCATTGCTGACAGTGATCTTCCAGAGCTCATCGTCATGTCTCGTGAGTAACATGTAACCACCCTGGGGGTGCTTTCTAGCACAGAAAGACTCATGTACAAGATGATGCTTATATTCCGCCCAAATATTATTTGTATCGTGTCCCATATACGTCGCAGACACCGGGCTCCGGAATCCCAGCCAACCCTGGGATTCAACACATATCCAGTGCCATCCACCCTGGTCGCCAACATTCTCTCGCACACAAAGATTCCCCTCGACGAGAGTAATGTATCGGCCAGTATTTCGCTCTCGGATAGCGAAAGTCTGGTCAGGGAATGGCGGTGTGTCTTTTGCCTCTATTTTCTGTATTGAGCATGAGCAGGAATGCTCTATTTGATCGGTACTGGACATTGTATGTGTTGGTGTTACCATGCCAATATCTAGGGTGGATTGACAGTATTCAGATTCGGGAGCAGAGCAAAGATCGGAATGCGAGGAAGACATTGATCTGGACCTTTCTGGTATTCCTAGGTGTGGAAGGAGGAAATAGAGGTTTAATATTGTGTAAGTGGGTGGAAGTCAGATAAATACCCAAGTTAGGTAGATATGCAGATGGCCAGAATAAAACCCAAAGAAGAAGAATACAGAATCGAAATATCTGGTAGGTTGTTGTTAAATCTCCAACTGTTGGTAGGTGATCTACGCCACCTGATTGGTCACCTGGCAACGGGACTGATTAGGAGTAAGGCCTGTGAGGCCACCAGACTTGACAATCAACAATGCACCTCTCAATACCTAGGTACTTATACACCTAATACTTCAGTTTTTATTAGTCCACCCCTCAGAAATAGATCCTTAACTTGAGATCCCTAAATTTCCCCATCTTAAAATCATTCAACAAGCAGAGGTAATTTTCTCTCTCGATTTTGCAATTCGCTATAAAGAATTCTTTCTATCAAGATATTATTAAGTCACTGTTAAACTCCGCGCAGCTTCAGTCCCTGCAATCCTGCCAAATACGGCACACTCGAGCAGTGATGAGCCACCAAGCCTATTAGCTCCATGTATGCCTCCAGTAATCTCGCCCGCGGCCCAGATCCCCGGTATTGGCACCGAGTTACCTTCATCTGTCAACCGAAGAACTCTGGCTTTCGTATCAAACGCCACTCCACCCATCGTGAAGTGAACCACAGGTGTCACTGTCCCGACACATACCTCCTCCTCGCGATTAGCTTCACCAGGAGGCAATTTCCAATGTCCAAACGACTTCCTTCCGAACGGATCTTCTTCATGTTTTGAGACCATGGTTGCGTACTTATCTATCGATGTGATAATTTCCGGAGCGAGGTCTTTGACTTTGATTTTCTGTACTAGGCCCTTCCACAGGTAAAACTTAATGTGAGATGCTGCAGCCTCGCATGCACCTGGATCTAGAAGGAGAATTACTTCCCAGTGTCTCATCGATTTATCCGTCGATTGCGGAAGAGCCATGATTGCGCTGCTAACGACATCACGGGTATTTAGCTCGTTAACGAACCGTTCCCCATTACTAGAAAGTAGAATACCGCCTTCACCTCGAAGGGCTTCGGCGGCTAAGAATAGTTGTGATGTACTAGTGGGTTTAGAATTTGAGGGCTTATGAGAAGGACCATCATTCTTAGGAGGGATGACACCGTACGAAATACCGGCGCCCTTTGGGAAAACGAAGCCTGTTGGGTGAATCTGTACGCTTTCCATGTCCACAAGTGCTGCTCCGATTGCCGTGAGCAAGCCGTGCGAGGCGGGTCGTTCCTCGTTTGTGGACGGCATGCCAGCTAAGTCGGGACGATATTTAGCTAACAGGCCGCGTGCATCACCGGCAAACCCACCCGCTGCGAAGACGACTGGGCCTTCAAGCTTGTGTTTCTGGCCGTCAGGCGTATGATAGCCCACTCCTTTAACGGCGCCGCCATCTTCAGTGAGCAATTCGTCCACTTCTGCAGAGTTCTCTAATGTGAAGTCGGGGTTGGCCTTCAACTTGTTCAATAGCGCGAAAACGATGGCTGCACCCGGGGGTAGTTCTCCACCGCCACGGTGAGTTCTCGGGACTGAGTGACCCCCAAGCTGTGCCACGACACTTAAATCAACCTCTAATTCGTCCGCAAGCCAGTTCACTGCACTCTCGGACTGGCTAGTTAGTATTTCGACTAAAGCCTTACGATCTATGCCCGGAATGTTGTTCTCGGTAAATCTGCTCCCAGCAGAACGCACTGTATCTGCGTAGAAACTGTCGTCGATGGGAATATTAAGGTCTCGCTGAAACCTTGTACCTGCACCGTTGATACCTGAGGATGCCTTGATACTATTCCCACCCGGTTTAGGCGCGCGGTCAAGCAGACGGACAGTAGCACCCGCCCGAAGCGCTTCATGAGCAGCGGACAGTCCCGCAAGGCCAGAGCCAATAACAATCACGGGCTTCCTTGCTGTAGTTGGCATTGTCGTGAATAAGGAGTTAGATAATCTGTGGAAAAGAACGCCGGGATTAGGTCGAAAGAAGACCATACATAAGATCGCGGTGAGAAAGCCAACGAGGAAATATATAAACAGTAGACAACAGCGGCTTCGTCTTACTCGTATGGGCATATTTAGATGAAGCTAACTTTAGGGATAGACCATTGATTGCTGGGACATTTTTATTGCATTAGGTATTCGAGTAGGACTACTACATAAGTCAGCGCTGGCGCGGATGACTGACATCGTCGTATGATAGCTGATGATAACTTATCGTACGATATGTGGGATGAGAAATGAGCGCCACATCTTTTCCGTCGTTGGTTTCCGGCTACCTAGAGCGAACTATGAGGGCCGCGCAACATGGCATAGTAGGTCACGGACACGGACTCGGATAATGAGCCTGAATATCATCGGGTCGAAATGGTTGTTAAAATACCGTATCCCCGGATTTTACTACCGTATTCTCGCTACGGGTTCGGTCCACCCGACCGGGGAGGGGGTACGAATGAATTTAAGCGGGAAACGAAATGGGCTATACGTACCTAGGTAATGTAACATAGATAAGCTGAGGTTGCAAAGTATCGTATAACAGGTAGGTTTAGGTACTAGTTATACCATTAACCATTTTTTCTTCAAAATATTTTAGGTTCCTATCAGTACAACCAGTTCGCAGATAGGCTATAGAAAATTGATCCTAACTCCAATAGTCGGAAAATAAACGCTACTGATCCCTGTTCACATAGGTAATCTTAGGTACATTAGGTAGGTAACTGGGGTTAGGTTGATAACGTATTTATAGCTAAGAGGTATTAACCCAAGTGAATTTACTAGGTAGAAATCAGCTACCTGGTACGTAATTCGAAGATAGCGTTTCCCTCTCTGGTTTTCCAGTACTTGTCTATCTTCTCCTTTTGATATACTCTATCGAATCGCTATTATTATAGCCCTCTATAGCTTTGAGTTAAATACTCGTACTCAGTGGCATCATGGCATGGATAATCTGTTGCGTCCGGGATTTCTCGCCTAAAATGGCAATATCCCAGGGTCAAGCCAGGAAGTTCATCACCGTGACAGTCCATCGGCAGGGCTGCTCGGGCAAGTCTCTCACGAAGCATAATCCACATCAAAAAGCAATCCACAAAATACGGGCTGATAACTGCTTGGGTTGTTATACCTATTGTCGATGTAACCTCGAAATACGAGATCGTTATAGCTTGGCAAAATGCCATTATACTTATTGAACGACGATGGATATAAAGTCGTGTTTTCACTTTCATAATACCGCACCTCGAGTTTGAAGCATACATCTTTCCGTGTGTAAACCCGCCGACGACAATATGCGTGTAGGATACTCCCTACTGCCGTTGCTGCTCGCTGCTTCTGGTAGCGCGCAGAGCGCAGAATTCATCTCACGCCGTGACCTCAATGGCACTTTGAAGATCGGCGAAAATGCCACCCCGAGGCGGTTCATCGTCGAATTGAAGTCGCGTGCGCACAGAGCCCACGTCTCGGCCAAGGTTAAGGGACTCTCCGGGCTCCGCGTTGTGAAGGAGTTCGATTCAGATCTCTTCCCAGGCGTAAGCATCGAGTGCGAGACTCACTGTAGCGCCGAGTCGCTCACAGACGCTCTTGACGCCGATGAGGATGGCCCTGTCGTAGCATCGGTTTACAGATCAACCCTCGTGCGTCTCTTGCCGGCCGCGATCGAAGGCGAGTCGTTTAGCAACGATGCGGCCGCTGCTAATTACTCAGTACATGGCTCGACAGGTGTCGAGAAGCTACATCAAGCAGGAATCATTGGCGAGGGTGCGATAATTGCTGTCGTTGATAGTGGAGTCCAATATACTCATCCTGCGGTAAAGTCCTCCGTCTGAAATTTGCCAACCCAGTCAAATAGATTAATTTCCAGATTCGCTAATATGGATGGGTTTATAGCTCGGTGGAGGCATTGGCCCCAATTACACAGTAATTGGCGGTTATGATCTTGTCGGCAGCGGTCTGTCTCTACTCCTAATTTATTGTTATGTAGCCGCGCATGTAAGGCTGACTTGCATTTGTTTCATCAGCATGGCCTGATGTACCAGCCGAGCCCGACAACGATCCGATGGACGAATATGGCCACGGTACTCACGTCGCAGGAATAATTGCGGGCAAGAGTGACCAGTAAGCTACTCTTGTGATATGATTGCATCGCCCCGGTCTAAATACTAATACGAGATAGATTTGTTGGTGTTGCTCCAGGTGCCAAATTACTCTCCTTCAAGGTATTCGGAAACAGTGGTTATTCAAACGAAGAGGTGGTTATCGAAGGGTTTCTCAAGGCCTTCGACTCGGGGGTAAGTAGTCTAGACCTTCACCCCCTATTAGGACTTTGAAAAGTTGCTTATGTTCAACTTTACCGCTAACTGTCCTCTAGGCTGATATCATTAGCGCAAGTCTCGGAGAGAATAGCGGCTTCACCTCCAATGCTTGGGCCGTGCTAGCTTCGAGGATGGTCGAACAAGGCGTAGTTATTTTATGCTGCAGGAAATGAAGGCGAGAGTGGCCCATTTGATGCTAGCAACGGCGCGTCGGGGAAAAACGTCCTTACTGTAGGAGCTGCTGAACCCGGGGCATTCCCTGCCCAGGCTTTTTCAGCGGACTTTAAACTTGATGGCCAGTCAAATGAGACACAGATCGCTTACATACCATCGTCCGGTTTTTTCCCTAATACCATTCTCGGCTGGCCTATCAAACCGGTGTCGCTCGACTCGTCTGTAGAGAATGATGCTTGTAGCCCACTACCGGCTAACACCACTAGCTTCAATGGAACTATCGCCCTGGCAAGAATTGGAGGGTGTGAAGTTTCCGTCAAGCATACCAACATTGCAGCCTTCGGTGCACAATACGTCTTATTCTACAACGATGATAGACCGTACCAAACGTTATATACCAGCAATACCACTGGTCTTATAGCAGCTATAGAGGCCCGCTCGGGTAAGGCAATCGTCGATGCAGTCGCCGCAGGTGTTGAAGTTACGGCATCGTTTGACGTCGATACCGCCCATTACGTCGGCCTGTACAATTCTGGTAGCGGCCGTCCGGCGCGATACACGTCCTGGGGAGGAACCTACGATCTAGCACTAAAACCAGATATTGCCGCCCCGGGTACCAAGATCCTTTCTACTTATCCAACCGACAAGTACCAAGTGCTTAGCGGCTCAAGCATGGCTACTCCATACATTGCTGGCGTAGCCGCGCTGTGGGTAGGCAAGTTTGGTGGACGAGCCGCTCATGCAGATGATCCTACGTGGGCTAAGCGGCTTACCGCAAGAATCATGGGCACCGCACGCGCTGTCCCTTGGGCTGACTGGTCTACAAGTACTACTGACTACGGGTTCTGGGCGCCTACTACTCAAGTAGGTGCTGGGTTTATTGACGCCGAGCGCGTGTTGGAATATTCTACAGAGCTCGGGTTCGAAGGTCGCAAATTCGAGCTTAATGATACAGCTCACTTTACCGGTACGCACTCGGTTGATATCACCAACTATGGGGACAAGCCTATCACGTACACATTTTCGCTACAGGATGCCGGCGGCTACGATTCATGGAGCCCGATCATACCGGGCCACCCACAATCATTTATCCCCGGGCTCAAGCTCTACCCAGAGATAAACCCAGTAAAGATGACCCCTGAGGTGTCATTCCCTAAGGGGGACTTCACTGTTGCTCCTGGCGAGAAAAAAACAGCTGAGTACGGATTCCTCTCTTACGCCCCCAAGGCGATAATAATGTCCATTATTATGCTATTATTATGCTAATACTCTTGTAGATTTACTTTCACTGCCCCAGAAGGACTCAACACCAGCAGCCTACCCGTTTACAGCGGCAAGGTCTTAATAAGCGGCGATAATGGCGAGCAACTTGGCGTTCCTTACTTTGGTCAGTATCTATGTGCAATTTATATTAATATTGGCCTGTGATATGGTTTTATCTAACTACCAAGGCAGGTGTTGCTTGCGACCTCAACCAAACCATCACCAATATTTGGGACTACGGCAGTAATTACCCTTGGTTGACATCTGGGGTCTCGGACAATAGAATCCAGCAGAAGTCCAAGTAAGTCCCCCTCCCCTCCCATTGTGCTGAATATTTTTAGTATACAAATATTAATGTTTTAATCAGCTTTACCTTCAACCTTTCCCGCGATGCGCAAGATTTCCCTAAGCTTAATACCGAATTCGCCTGGGGTACGGAAGAGTTACGGTGGGATGTAAGTTTACACTCTCTACATTGTATACCTATGTATCGTTAAACTAACCCTACGCCAACCTAGATCTTCGACGAGGATTATACAGAATCCGACTGGACATACCCACCTCAGGTCGGCAAGAATAAATATGTCGGATCGGCCACAAGTTGGAACGGTACGTCGAAGTCTCAATGGTTCACACCGGGTCAAGACAGCGAGGATGATATCTTTTCTTTCCCGCTATACGACCAGCCGCGTGGTAAATGGGGAATCTACTACTGGCTAGGGCGATTTGCCAACGGATCGAGTATCCAGGCTGGATCTTACAGATTCCGCATCGCTACTCTGAGACCGTTGGGTGATCCTCAAGTATCGTACGATTGGGACATTTGGGAGACGCCAAAGGTTACAGTCCTACCACTAGAGAAGACAAATACATCGACTTCAAGATAGCCCATTTCTTGTATAGGTACCTGTTTACGATAGGAACATTTGACAGGAGTACGATAGCGATGAAATTAAACAATGGTGTTAAAAATAATGAAGTACTGGATACATATGTTGAGCTGAAAGTAGAAAAAAAACAAAAACAAATAAAGAATAAAAATATTGATTTGAGAATCTCTCGATCGGGGAATTGAACCCCGGCCACCTGCGAATTCAATGACAAGCAGGTATCCTAACCACTAGACGAATCGAGATTTTTCCTTGGAGGTGATGGGGATTGGTCTGTGATAGAATAATTTATAGGGCAACGTTGTAGAATTTATGGGTCCTCCGTATACCACGCTAAGCTATTCTGAGAGTTCGCAGTTATTAGCAGTCTAAATGGGAGTGCGATACGACAGCAATTGACTTCGGTAGTAGGAATATTACTATCTTTTTTTCTTTTTTTCTTTTTTTTCCCGTAGTACATACATCTCGTTAAATCACATTTTATATGATTAGCTTTCAGGTGTTAAAATGTGGATTGGAGTTTGGGATAATTCTGAGCACGAACGTGCAAGTCCCCAAAGATGGCCGCTGAGTCGTCGCCCGGTAGGCTCTCCATACGATGCGTGTCTTCATCTTCTAGCTTTTCCAGCTCCTCTATGGGGTCCTCCTGGCCGTCTTTCTGACCCCTCTGCGGCTCGGTGGCCTTTTGAATGCCTTTGGATTCGCCAATTAGTAAAAATTGTGTGTTTACATAGTCGAGATGCTCAGGCTGCGTAGCGATCCATCGTAGAGTGCGGAATCCATCTTGCAAGCTACAGCGCAAAATTGTTAGCTAACAATTAGTCTAGGTTAATACAATTTTATGAGGACCTACTCCTTTGGATATTTAGGAGCTTGGGGAAGGGCAGTACCCTTCGGAGGCTCATACTGAGGGTTTCTGGTGCTTATAATGAAGCTTCCTTTCTCCTTTAGTCCAATTTTCTTCTGCACTTCACCAAGATCATCCGGTAATGTTATCATGTAAGCCAGATGGGATTCCCGACCGGTACTCGTAATGGCGTAGATGCCTTCCGCTACGGGGGTAGCAGCAGGCGTGTGTCGAACACCGACCGTCTTAGTGGTATAGTCTGACGCAGATATGAATTCATCCTTCAACGTCTTGAAAGAGGTATGCGACTTTTCGACGAACGCGATCCACCTATCCTTACCACTCAGCGGCAATATCTTCTTTGGAATAGCGATCAAGCGACTATTCCCAGCGTCGTCGACCGTGCCTTCGCCAAGCTTTGCGTCCTTGGCCAGGGGACGCAGGATGATGTAACTGTGGCGAATATCGTCGATGCTGCTAGGCTCGTCGATACCTACCCTGCCGCGGATAAAGAAGTATATGATACCCTTCTCCAAGATGCTAGACGGAACGACTCCTTCTCTCGCCCCTACTTGCTCGGCCGAGTCCCTCTGATCTATTTCCTCTTGGGTGACCCCGTTCTTACCACCTATATTGTTCCCACTAGCCGGTAGCTGGCTTGTGCCGTCGCCGTATGCTTCAGTAGGACTGACTAGGTTAGCTAATTATCAATAGCATATAAGATTGTGTTGTGGAAGTACCTTGGAATGGTATCTTCTATGGTTTGCTGTTTCTTATCGCCATCATTTTTAGTGCGCTTAGATCCTGGCAATGACTTCGTATTTAGTTGGTGCTTGGAGCCAACCCCAGCTCCGTTTTCATTCTTCGAAGTCGGCTCAGCTTTGGCACCGGATCTGGTGGTGGTCATATTGGAAATTAGTAGGAGCTGTTAGGAATTGAAAGTGTTACGAAGATCTGAAGCGGAGAGATGTGATGATCTGATTGACTATAAGATAAGTTGGCGATTTGATATATAAATAAAAAGTTAGTAAGCTTGAATGTTAGATATAGCTTGACAAGTCTTGCCAGTAACTTGGATCACTCTGATGTCATTAATCTGATTTAAAGGCTGTCTTATTTCAAGGACATACAGGGAGCTTGGGCCATATTCATAATGATAGCTATTTTCCTCTTTAGGAAGTGAGGTCATATTAGTACGTATCGACGATCACAACTCTGGACATAGAATTGATAAACATTATTCGGGATATATCATGGTTGCATCTGATGTATTATCTTGGCGATCTTGATTCTATTCGATTATATAATTTAGAAATCTGAACGTTATGTTTTTTGGTTTTTAGTCAATTTGAGCAATCATTAAAAAAGCGATTGGGGGGGAGATTCATTATGTGATCGACGAGCTAGTATTATACAAGTTAGATCTAATAAAGTGACTTTTTACGTTAGGTAATTACGAAGTCTTCTAGAATTTCCCTCCTTTTTCTTCTTTTTTTATACCAGCGCTAGGAAAATTCTTCTACAATGTTTACCTTGATTGGTAGTTACATCAGAAGTCTTCAAAGTTGGTAGGTAGTATCTTTCGTCTATATTATAACTTTTAACAATTCTTTCCGTGTAGAGAATCGCGGTCGCGCTCTGTCGTATGTTTTCGTATTTTCTTAACGCTAAGGGACATTAGTTATGGATGGTACAAGATAATCGCATCCAGGAGCGTGGTTTGCGTGATAGTACCTTGCTTAGAGTGGACAATAGTATATGTGCCGTTTTAAGTTGCATTCTATGCAAGCTGCGCATCCTCCTGAAGCGCTTTGACTTAAACGAGGTGGTATTCAACTCCATCAACATGCGAACATGGAACAGGAGTAATGGTATTAACACGAGAAAGCTCACCATTAATACAAAAGGAATCACAACGAAGAGATGATGAACTAATATGTTAAGAACGTCTGGTGAGGTTATATAACATCGATCTCGCTCGATATGACAAGGAATTTTCATCATTTATTAATATCTATCGGCGGTCCACATGTAACTTACCCCTGAAGCTATTCCGTTGATGCCCCACTAGCCGGACATGTGCGTCAAAAGAGATCTCACCACCATCCCCGTCTCGGATAGTATCCGATATCTTGCACACAACCAATACCAAGAATAGTTTTCAACTAACAGAGGCTAGGCAGCGCTGAATGGAACATCATTAAACAAAAGATTTCCCTTCTGGGAAAGCCATAACCGCTGATTAGCTATATACGACTTAGGTTGCGCACAGGTCGGTATAATGTTCCGAATTTGCATAGTCTAAGCCTCTTAGGGTCACTCTTAGGGTCGCTCTTAGGGGTCTCTCCTAGGGGACTACTCCTTGAGTGGGGGGTTTGGCGAGTTTATAAACTGGTCCCCTATCCTAACTAGAGAGAAATATTCACGATGTTGAGTTGCTACGGTGGTTTCTCTTTATCTATCTTGAGCAAAACTCGATAGACGGCGCAACGAGATCCTATTCTAGGCTCAGCCGCTCACTCTCGTTAATTATATCCTATATCTGACCGATCCATTCATTTATTATGTGTGCTTAATTATTTTCATTCTTTATCTTCTAAACACTCACTCATAAAAATGAAGCCGGCAACACTCGCTCTCCTCCTTGGCCCCGTGGGCATTGTAGCCAGGCCATGTGGTGGCCATCGTCCTCAGACAACTTCATCTACAATTCCATCTACAATTTCATCTGCAGTTCCTTCTACGGTTTCTGCTACAGTTTCTGCTACAGTTTCTTCTACAGTTTCTTCGGCAACATATACTACAACCGCATCATCAACTGGCGAGTCTACCACAGCAACTTCAATTGCTTCGATCACTTCCACGACGATTCCCTCGGTAACTCCTTCCGCCACATTGTCCACCAGTAAACAGGCTACCTCTTCTACGACGACCTCTGCTGCCCCAACATCTACTAAAGGTAGCGGCTCCTCGTCTGATAGCATTGACGAACTATTCAAGGCGAAGGGCAAGCTTTACTACGGCACCGCAGCTGACTCTGGCACTCTGTCTAAATCCCAAAATGCCGCCATCATCAAGAAGGACTTTGGGCAACTAACACCTGAGAACAGCATGAAGTGGGATGCTATCGAACCAACTCGTGGCGGCTTTAGCTTCGGTGGTGCTGATGCACTTGTTAATTTTGCCGTGCAGAACGGCCAGAGCATTCGTGGCCACACTCTCCTCTGGTACCAGCAACTACCGGACTACGTCAAGGCCATCACAGATAAAAAGGAGCTTACCAGCGTCATTGAGAACCACATTAGCACCATCGTCGGAAGATATAAGGGCAAGATTCGCTCTTGGGTACGTAACAACTAATTCTAAATATGAAAGGAAAAACACGCTAATACGACTGGTTTAGGATGTTGTGAATGAGGTCTTCACTGAGGATGGTACTCTCCGCGATTGCGTCTTTACCCAAGTTCTAGGCGAAGACTTTGTTCGTATCGCTTTCGAGGCGGCACACAAGGCGGACCCGGATGCTAAGCTTTACATTAACGACTTCCATCTCGAGAGCGGAACGTCCGCTAAGACTACCACTGGCATGTTTGATCACGTAAAGAAGTGGCTCGCTGCTGGCATCCCGATCGACGGTATTGGTATCCAAGGTCATCTCGGTGGTGGCAACCCTAGCGCTAGCGGAATGCAGGCTGGGTTGGAGAAGCTCGCTACGACCGGTGTAAAGGAACTGGCCATTACCGAGTTGGATATTGTGAATGCGTCGGCCCGACGAGTATGTTAAGGTCACCAATGCTTGCCTTGCTGTCGAAAAATGTGTTGGAATCACTCTGTGGGGCGTGAGCGATGCTGTGAGTCTCCCATTCTAAGATAGTCGGCGACAAAACTAACTTCCTTTAGGATTCGTGGCAAGCAAAGAGTTCGGCCGCTCCTTTTTAATACTAGCTATCAGCCCAAACCTGCATATGATGCTATCGTCAAGGCTCTCGCATAGACAGCCTAGGAATATCAGGCATCAAAGCATAATATGCGACTCTAATGTTGGCGAATAATTTTCACGGGCTTCAGCAGCCTATAATTGTAATAAATGAAGCTATCTAAAGGCTAGGATCTCGATGAGCTACTACGATACTTTCCACTTCGAACAATGAGAAGTGATGAGTACTAGTGGATATGAACCGCATTAACATATAAATTAACTATACTATTATAATCGCTTTAAATGTCCATCAATAATACGCTCACCAATAAAGACATTAAGTCTTTCTATAATCAAATGCCTACCCGGATAACCCTGTTGTCTTGGATGAATGATCATAAATCTTAGACTATCTAGCAGTTTACTTAGTAATAACGAGGCCTTGAATACGAATTAATAGCCCATACATTAGGTACTTGGTTTAAGCCAGGATTTTTACTGTCTTCTAACCTATCTCCCAATAGTAATTATCCTCTAAATATTATACCTCAGCATAACTTCCCTAAGGGGTAATTTGGCATTTTATCCCTAGGACTGGAATAATGGTAGTAATCATGGAACTTTTTAACTATTCATGCCTTATTAAAGCTCTAGGGTTGGTAGTTCCAATTGATAATAATTAAGATTACGTATTTGGTTTGGGATATCCAACAACGTGGGCACCGCATTATACCACTCTGCCCTTCATCTGCTTATCCTGGACGTTCAAGTTTTTCCAGGCTAGCGCGCAGGGGACCGTCAGCGACAGGACAGCGCACGCAGCAATGCACATACGCTGCATGCCTTCGCCATAAGCATCCATGATAGCCAAGCGTCCGGTTGTTCCCATTTTATACGACAGCTGCACTACGAGGCTCCCGAAAATCCTGCTGATTTGGTCCTTAAGCTCTAGCGGGAGGTGTTTCTCGAGTAGGCCGGGCATACTATTTGTCCATATCCCACCACTGACGCCAAGGCCGATTGTATCTCCAACTGCAGTGAATAGAGCGAGGAGTGCAAGTACCATAGCCACGTTAGTATGTTCGGCGGCAGCCATAATGGCAATCTTCTCGGTTACAACAAGCGTCTGGTAATGATTAGACTATAAATCGGTGCCCTTAATGATAAAAGCGTCTATGCTTACCGAGGCGCCTATAGTCTCAAGCACTTGACACATGGCCACTAAACCGAGTGGTGTACCTGGCATGCGGTACTTGATCATCAACCCGGCGCTCATAACCAGCAGAGGAGCTGCAGTGAGTGCTAACCACTTATACCGGTTTGTGATGCGAATTAGATAACCAATAACAAAACTCCAGGAGCACGAGCCCAAGTTGTAGATGTTACCGATCCAGCCCGCATCTTTGATAGATAAACCGAATACTACCTGTAGGTGGCTCTGGAAGCTAACGTATGAGGACATTGAATCAGCTTACAATTATACCTAACTAGAACATTTGATGATCCCTTTGGAAAACAGCGATTATAAATTATTCGACTTACTACTAACTCGTTAGCCACTACTATTAAAAGAATGCCGAGGAAAGCTCGCGTAATTAGAGGGATTCACACATACCTATGAGCCCCAGCACCTCGACGCGATGAACATCACGCAACTCATGATGCAGGCACCCATAACTGTACGATCCCATAGCAGATGGAACGATACAAGAGTCACTTTGGCGAAGTACTTCTCCCAAATGCAGAAAGCGACAAGTGACCAGCCACCAATAACGATCATAGTGATGATTGCAGCCGACCTCCATTTATCAGTCTGATACGTGGCGAGACTAAGGGGTAATATGATGAGCGAGAATCCAGCGACAACAAAAACCATGCCGACAACTTGAAATAATTAGCGAAAACTACTATATATAATACGTCATCCTCCCCCAAACATACCGTCGAACTCAATTGCATAATGCATTACGCTTTGTGACCATGTCCGACCGGAGTCACGAACAGCAGCGGGGAACTGTTTGCGCGCCTCCTTGCGAGTATATAGCAAGATCCAAAGAACTGGAATTGAGGAGAAGGGTATAATAATTGCTAGGGTACCATAAGCCCATCGCCAACCAATACCAAGGAGAAAGTCTTCGGCGGCGGCGGGTCCTGCAAACGTGGTGGCTAAAAATGGAGCAGACATGACAGCCAAAAGCAATGCTCGGTTCCTTAATTTCGAAGTATCCGCAACCAAAACGTCGAGCACAAAGTTCATGCCATTCTCACCAATGCGGTAGAATACCTTTTGAATTAGCTATCGTTAGTATTATAAGATATGTTTAATCTGGGAGAAAAGGTAAGGAACATACGAGAGCCGCAGCATAAGTTTCGACATTTCTGCTCACAGCCATCAATACGATCCCTAGCGTAGCGAAACAGGTCATCAAAGCGAACCCTTCAGGTCGGCCCCAGATATCGATGATCTTTGCGATAGGAATACGTGAGACACCCCCGAAGATGGATGCTACGACTTGCGCTGTCGTGAGCAGCGAATGTCGCTGGAAGTCGCTCGTAACGTAAGCGATGAGAGAGTTGGACAGGCTAGACTCAAAAGCTAAGATAAAATTGACGATTAGAAGCCTAATGATGAATTAGTACGTGGTTTATTTAATATTTTTGGGTTACTACCATGCGTATGTCATTATCATTAATTTCTTGGACCAGGTCTGGGTGATAGCTTCGATATCTCGAACGCCATCTTGGCCTTCTAAGTCTGGAACGTGCTTCTCGTCAACGTCAACGCCAACGTCACCTTGACCTTCGAGAGTCCGAGCCGCGGCCCGGGCCGATCTCGTCTATAGCAGCCGAGTGTGACAACTCCTGAGGTCGGACACAAGCGGCAATCTTGGTGCCTGCTTCAGGGGACCTCTTCTCATTCGCCTCTGACATGATAGCTCTAGTCTACCTACTGAAAGTGAGATACAACTGGTATTTAGAAGAGACCACTAGAAATTAAGACTTGGATGATTAAAGGAAAGCTTATAGTATAAAAGTCTGGATAATAGGCCTAGGTAATACAAACAAGAGCGGAGACAAACCTCCTATGCCGTAGACTGTGTTGCCCTCCGTCGACGGGATGGTTACATAGCTTCCCCACGGTCAAGCAGGTGCTGCAGTGTTAAATTGCCAATGATATTCCATCTCAGGCGGAATCATCACATAGATGATCTGATAAAATAAGATAACGGGGGACCCCTGGTAGCTTGGCGACTAATATTTATACGATCTCGCCTATGACGATGAGGATAAGCCGGCTGTCGGTACAGGACTTGACTGGTAGAGTCGCGTTGAATTTGTTTCGGAATCATTGCTGGAAAGAGGGTAGGCATGCTATAACTTAGTTAATTACGAAATTCTAAAAAATCTATCTAAATATTACTCGTACGGCTAAGTAATTGTCATAAGATGTCGTGGCTTGAAGGTAACATATGAATACTACGATGCTTGCATGAATCTTCAAGGGGGTGATTCACTTTGGAATAAACCCCCTTTAATGAATTTGGACTACCCCACCTCGTGATAGATGCATAATTTAATTTTAGATTGCATATTTCGTAGTCACAGCTATCGTAGCTCCTTCGCGTCGTTTTCCAGCTTCAGCTTCGGCCTTTTCAATTCGACATCCCAATCCAGCTATCACTTGTCTCACCCCAGTTAACATGTCCAGAAAACCAGTTAAAGGCGAGTATATCGAAACCGTAAGATAGCTCCCTATTATAAGCAAACATAATTGTGCTTAATTAACATTTCTACCTACAATAGGATACAGGGAACAAGGTCTCGAGGAAGGCCATCCTGATCGGAACTCAGCACATCATGTTAGGCGGCAAGACCATCATTCAGGCCGAAGCCATGATTCGCGGCGATCTAGCGAGGACCGGGCAAGCTGTATCAGGCTCAGCCGCTGCTCCTGGCAGCAATACGGCCGTGGCTATCGGTCGTTATTGTTATCTGAGTAAAGGATGCTGTTTGCGCCCTCCAGGTCGCATATATAAAGGGTCAGTCGCGCATATCTTAGAAGAGCATAGTGCTAACTATTTACATATTTCACTTCTCAGATCCTTCACCTTCCTCCCACTCCGATTAGGCGACCATGTTTTTATCGGCGAGGGCACCGTCGTCCAAGCAGCAACCGTCGGCAGCCACGTATACATCGGCCAGAATGTCGTCGTTGGCGAATTTGCTATCATTAAAGACTACGTCCGCGTTCTTGAAGGTACCGTTATACCCCCAAATATGGTCATACCGAGCTTCAGTATCGTTGCTGGCCAACCAGCCAGAGTTATCGGCGAGGTACCCGAAGGTGGCCACGAGGCATTCGAGCTCCGAGAGCTTTACAAGACGGTTGGAAATAACCCACAGCCGCTACCCGTCTAATTTATAATTTCTATTGGTGCGATATACGCTCCTATGGCCCTATCCACTTGTTGATTTGATGCATAATCAAAATATTCAAGCATCACGGTAAGGCCGACCTAGTCACGATCGCATATCAGGACTACTCTCAAGATACATCTAATCATTCTTCGTCAATGCTAAGCGGCTTATCGATCTAGTTCTAGATCGGAATCGAATCAGTCATATGCCATTCCAGTCCTTTAATGTGAAGGTAGCATCTACTTGAAACGTATGCGCTCCTTGGGCACATAGTGTAGAGGAATTTCACCAGATTTCACGACTCACATTACGTTCTACTCTCGATAAAGCCCCCTGCCTAACCCCTTTTATTAACCAAGAGGGTTAATGGGTTAGATATGAGATATCTGTGAGATATGAGGACTAATCAATACCCACACCGCGCTATCATGGATAGATAAGGTATTGGGTTTCTTCGGGTGAGTGGCGAACCAGGTCAATAACAAATATCCTAGCTAAGATTAACAACGCTTAGGAGATCTAAGAGAAGTTTGTTGAGGTTGTCGCCTGTTTATGAATATCGATTTCGACCGTGAGAAAGACTTGGTATGGAGATAGAGTTGTTCCGCCAAGTATCTTGAAGGAGATTTCAGGTATATCCATGTCTATAGCTTACTATTGATAGCTATATCATGTAAGCTTTTTAGAGGCTTAACCCAGAAAACACATTCAATAAGAATTATCAACATGAGATACACCAAAGCCATTTTCAAGGCGGAAGTTTTTGTACCCTTCATGCTTATGCTTTCTGATAGTGGCAACTCTACTTCAAAAGCCGAACGACGACTAAGTCGGGGACTTTCTGAATCTCGTCCATCTCCATCTATAGAGTTGTACACAACATTGACACCTTGGCTATCCCCATTCCACATGACTAGGTTCTAGACATTGCCATCAGTATTCCGAAGGCGTAGAGCAGAAACTGCATATTCCAGTACAATCTGACTGTTGGGAGCAGGTTTGACCACAGCTCGCGGCCGTAGAAGACGTAGAGTTTACTGCCAGCGGCGTCTAGATCCGCACGATGTATGTTAGTATTGTTTCCCCCTTTTCATGTTAGTGTAACACAATGTATTATTCACTGCCGAAATAACATGGTAGGTTGTAAGGATAAAGCTAGCGAAGGAGTTGAGCGTGAGATTCATTTTGTTAACGTCAAGCTTGGTAAATTGGTTTAAAGCCGTAATGGTAGATTCATTGAATATTTATAGGCTTGAGTTATGAGATACCTCGTTACACTGTTGTCATTAGATCCTGACGGATATTAACCAGACTTCCATCATATATTCTGTATAAGCGCTTGACCTGGATTCGTTGATGGGTGGCTGCACTTGGACTGAATAGGCAGAATATGGAATTCTCACATACACGAGGTGTTAGTTACTCGAAAAGGAAGTGTACTGCGAAAGTTTAAACCCTTTTGAAGTATACTTAACCTAGGCCTACGGGATATGATTTCTCTAAGGCATTCTTCCGAGTCACAACGGCGGAAACCCTCTTCAGCGCCGTAAGGGTGAAATGACACAAGTTCAGCAATGGCCCATAGTCATCAGATATTGTCTATGGTTTATTGATTAAAAGTATAAGACATCGTGTTTCAGCTACCTACCTAAGGTAGGTAGCTTATATTGTTAGGTCGTAGAAGGCTGTTGACTTCCGATGATGCGGAATCACGAGCCTTGGTGATTGCGTGGTAAATATCATTGCCGTCTTATAAACAGTACGAGTGCCAAGCTGGTGCTTGCCTCTAATTTATGGCTATCTCAGGTGGCTTCAAAACCAAGATTCCATATTATTAAGTGCTACACACTTGGACACTGCAGCTTCTATTACTTAACTCAAGGTCGCTTCCAAGTCATGCTTCTAGTCTAATTAAATAGCTACCACCGACGGTTCTTGACTTAATAGTATTCGTAGTCGTCATCTTCCTCATCGCCATCACCCTCGTACTCATAATCATAAATGGCCTCCTCTCATCTCCTCCTCATCTTCCTCCTCCCCTCCTCATCGCCATCATCATCATCATCATCATCATCTTCTTCTTTCTTCTTCTTCTTCTTCTTCTTCTTCTTCTTCACTACTATGTACTTCCATCACCCCATATTCTTCTCCTCTTTCACTATACACACTCTCCTCTTCGCTAATATCCACTTCCTCCTCATCCTCGTCGTCCTCATCCTCGTCTTCCTCCTCATATTCTTCCTCCTCACTACTATCCATCTCCTCGTCGTTCTCCTCTGCTTCTCCTTCGCTGTTATCCACATCACTATCGTCACCGATATTACTAATCGCCATCGCAGCCGCCGCACCTACGGCTAGACCACCAACACCCACAGCGACTGCGGTCCCTATATTGCCATTTGAACTATTTCCATGATATGGCTGCTCGTAATAACTCCCATTCGCGCCAGCGGGTCTGTGCAGGTAATCATCTGATGATGATGGATTATGGTGCTGGCCACCATCCCAGCCCGGGTTTTGATAGTCGTAATAAGAATTCGGGGGGTCGTGATGATACTGGGGATTATGATTATGCGTATATCCGTTGCCGTTAATTCCCGTATACTGAGGGTGATTTATGTATTGGTGGAATGAACTTGGCGTAGAATACGTGGGCGTGTGGTGGCGGGAGTCGTTATAGCCGAGGGGGGAATGTGTCCCAATACCGTTGTTGCGTGGGGGATTGAATGAATGGTAAGTATTAGCGTGGTGCGTCGAGGGGACTTGTCCACCGTAGTTATTATGACTCGCTTGTGGGCCGCGGGAAGAATTTAGATTATTTCGTCCGCCTGGCATCAAACTTGACGGGATATTGTAACTCGTATTATTAGAGCCATGAGTGTTGTTCACGCTGCCGCGCCCAGGAATCAAGGCCGGCGGAGTGTGGTGGCCTCGTTGTTGTTGGTTTGCAGCAGGACTACCGAACCCATTTATGTGTGCCGTCTGGAGTAGCGGTGCTCTGCTACCATGATTGGATGGAGGATGTACATTCTGAGCTCGAGCAGTCATATCGTTTGGGGGACGCGAGATTGCTTGTGGGCGCTGCGGGTTTGTATGAGGTTGGTGGAGGCCGGGACTCCCCATGGAGCGCGATATGCTTTCCTTGGAACCACTAGAACTTGGAGAAGAAGAAGAAGAGAAGAGTTTCCCGAAGAAACCACTATCCTTCGCTTTTGGAACCGAATTCTTTGGCATATTATACTGCTGTCCAGCGCCGTGGACATGTTGTGTTACTGCTGAAGCCGCCTGCTGCTGAGGGGGTTTAGGGTAAGATTGCGGTGTAAGGCCATCTGCTGCTGCTGTTATGTTCCTAGAAGGATTTGTTGGTGCAGGAGAGGCGACTTTTAACGGACGGGGTTCCTTTCTGGTAGAAGGTAAAGAAGAAGTAGGTAAAGGCAGCTTCTGTGTTGCTCGCTTAAGAGGTAATTTTGGGTTTTCACTGAGAGTTGGTGGGATCGCCTTAATGGCCCCAGGTAATACATCCGAGACCTTTTTTCGTCTTGGAGGAGGAAGATTTACGAGACTTTGCTGCTGAGTGTTCGGGAGACTTGCGTTGGAGGATTGGTATTCCGTTTTCGCCGTCGTAGGCACGACACGAGTCGCGGGTTTCGATCGTGTCGGCGCGGGCATATTAACCGACGAAGGGCGAACAGGGAACATGTAGCTAGACTCGGCCTGAAAAGAACCCAGACCGACCTGGTCTTTTGGTAGAGGAGCTAAGGGATGCGTTTGGTCAACTTTATTAGTCGAGGTCTGGTGATTGTTGACAGAATCTTTCTGGACGAAGACTTCGTTCGCCTCTACCTTGGGTGGCGCAACTCTATGAGTAACAAGTAGTTCCGGGGACCCCGAAGCTTGGGCGAACTGTCCTGTAGGATATTGAATCTGATTGAAACCGGTCGTGTCTGATGGCGGACCGGCTTGCCGCGGTTTCAATGCCTCAAAGCCTTGTCGTGGTAAAGGCTTTCTCTTGATGAGTGTCTCAGCAACAAGGTCTTTTGCGTGTGGATTTGAAGCTTGGATATCCCCTGTGACCGGTCTATGTGAAGCAGCCATTGTGACTATGGATAACTATGTTAACGTAACGCTCAAACCCTTAGGGATATCATAACTCGTCAATGACATACCTTCCTGTGCACTTTTATCATTGTATGCAGCCTCGGTAGTGTTTCCATGTCCTTGATCTACCGAGTTTTCTTCAACCTTGTTCGCACGTTTGATTATGGACTTCAGCTCCTTCACCAAGAACTGGAAGCCCTCGTCATCTCTATTGGTGAACTCCGCTATAGACTGATGATCACAATTAGGTCTTAGCATTTTCTTCTCACGTTTGAGACCAAGAGTCAACAGTTCCTCGTCATTACCCTATTAATAAGTCCATTTTGTTAGACTTAAAACACCAAGTTATATTGTTTGATGGACAAAAACATACCGGATGAAATAGACCGAGGGGGCCGTATAAAGATATGATCTTGATTCCAGATGATAGCTTCTTGAAACGAAGCGGAAGTTTCTCTAGCGACGAAGCATTCTCCTGAAGCCAGGATCGGACTGTGCTCTCTAGCCTCGGATCCGCGAGAAGATTCTCCTGTGCTATCTGCAGAAGCAGAGTAGGCCACGAGACAATGGTGGACTGCCTTTGCGACCCGTTGAGAAATATGACGGCTTTGACAGCCTCTCCGAGCTGGAGGTAATTTGAATCTTCCGCTAGCATGCGGGCCACGACCTTGTATAGTGTCTTAGTATAATATCAATCAACCCTCGAGATGTACAAGATAGCTAAACCACTTACGGCTTCAATAAGTAAGGCGCTTAGTCCATGACACATTAATACGAGAGGTCGACGCGCCGGGACTGTACCTCGCGCGGTGGCAATGCTGCGAAGAAGCTCCAAGACAGCCGTCTCGAAATTCTCCCAACCACCTCCGAACACGAACTCGGTATTATAACAGAAAGTGAATATTCTAGCGCCCCGAATATCCTTGGGGAGGAGTTGGCGGAGCCATGTGCCGCTTTTACCTGTGCCCCAAGGGACATCGGTGGTCTGCCGAATGTCGTGAAGTGCTACGATATCAATAGCTTTCGCTTCGATATGCTTCTCTGGGTTGGGCGGCTTGGTCAAGCAGTGAAGCTCACCAACCAAGTTTCCTGACCATGAATTGGTACTAGCCATATTGAATGAAGATCCAACGTTGGAAATCTGTATTGTGCCGCGAATATTTGCTGTGATTGAGGGGATTCTATGTTATGAAATAAGCGAGAATGGTGTTCGAAGAGGTAAACGGGGTTCAATAACAATTAGTATATTAACATCTATTACTTAATCATTATCAAAATTAAAAACAGGTTACGAAGTTTTATATGTATTCATTCAATCAGATAACCTAAATTTAGGGCCGAATCTCCAAGCGCCTACTACACGACCTTCTAACGGTACCGATCGAGGCTATACAGAAAAGGGGCTAATCTGATGTGTCAAGAATATATCGCCAATTGCTTCGGCTAGGACTAATCACCATGAAATGGCTTGGCCATTAGGGATTTCTAGAGCCCCTATGACCGTATAGTAGCAAACATCTTTGCGCTTCTCGAAACGAAACTGTAGTTTGGGGGCTAAACTTCGGCCCCGTCGTCTGCGGGTCCCTATTTTGGCCGTAGAGGGATTCTGAGCCCGAGCATTGCCCGCTTTTGGTAATCGATTCCCGCTTATGCAGAGCCTCACTGGAAGTATCCTTAAAATAGCTACCTGCAGAGTTAGTAAGATTACATCTCACCTATACAATATTCGATGATGAACGGCTTGGGGAAGAAATTTTTCCTAGGACTGGTATGGGTAACGGTTTGAGTGTTTGGAAGTTGCATATTCAGGAGTAACGAAGCAGATTCTAGACACGAGCAGCAGAGCTCCGCGCACATGAGACGTATCGGTCAAGGATGCATGTATACTTTCATGATCATAATGTTGATAAAGTAAGCCTGCCGAACCTTTCGCGGTCGAGCAATACCTACATATAGTGCCTGAGAAACCTAAAGTAAATTGGCCATCTTTATTGTTTGCCTCATTGTGTACCCTTTTCTGAAGACCTCGACTTCTTACTTTCTTTGCAAGTAGTAATAGAGAAGGGCTCTCGCCATGCCTAAAACAAGAAAAACACCTGCTCTGCGTTCAGCAAAGAAGATGGCTGGCAAAAAGAGACGTCCCGCTCCCTCTGTACTTCCACAATACCAAGAGTAAGTGAAGCATACCGCGGTATATATAGCTGCTACCGTCACTGGAGTGTTGTTAATATCAAAATAGCGGCTTTCCAAATGCCAATAGCGGTATCAGAAGTAAACGAAAGGTTGGCAAGGTCGGGAAATGGATTCCTCGATTCTTAGCCGCACTGGCATATGTATCAAGTATCATTCTCGGAGGTATGGTGCCTAGTACTTGGTTATATTCCTTGACCGGCCATTCTAACATCTCATGTCCTAATAAGCCCTGATCGCGACGGGTTGTGGTACGACCGCCCTAGACAACATCTATCTAGTCGAGTTGCAAACGAACGAGACGTTTGATATCAACTTCCGAGTTGGTTTTTCGGTGAGTAGCAGATAATTACCCCGTGGGGAAAAGTGTAGCAGCATCTACTCTACCTATCCAGGGATTCCGATATTGGGACAAGGGCTGACATAATGCCGGGTTTTCCTAGGAGGCTGTCTTTCGGTTGCCAATCTCACGACTGATCTCAACGATAACTCGACTAAGGAAGAGGAGACCCAGGTCAACTGCATCTACGGCCTGCGCAGCACGGATACAGAAGACCTCGGGGAAGAGCTCTGGGAGGACTTGGACCTCTCCGATGCTGCTCAATCCTCAGTGCTCGAGGCATTGAATGCGACGTTGCCCCAAGCGGTTCATTTACAAGAGAATGTCTTTTTCTGGCCACCCATAGTCGTACACATAGTCACCTTCTTCTTGAGCGGCATCATACTAGGCGTCGCCTCAACGGCTTCTTCGAACAAGCCTTCATATAAATTCTTCTTGCTTATAGGTAGTCTTCTTGGCGCCTTCGCGCTAGGTTTAGCCCTCACGGGCGCTATCGCTCCTACGTCGGCGCTAAACGCACTCCTGGAGAGCGATAGACCGCAAGATGAGGGCGCACCGGATGATAAAACCCCTTTTGTTACTAAACGAGGTAACCTGTTGGAAACCCTCTCGGGTGTCTTGGTAGCTTTTGTTGCTCTCTTCTACGTGGCGATAGGTTACATATTCATTCGTCGAAGAACGTAAATAACACGAAGTAGTGAGCAAGCAAGTAAGCAAGCCTTGGTGTTAGGTATTAAAGAGCGAAGAAGGATAAGGTGGATAGTTACAGCTATGTCTCATGCACTGAGTTCCATGAGTCAAATAAAAGCTTGACTTGGCTTGGGCCTGGGTTCACTTAGTTTGGGGAGATACTTTTTTGAGTTATCGGTCCGAGTTGAGCGAAAGATTAGATTGTTTTTCTTCATCCTTTTCTATTTAACTGTTTTCTGTGTTCCTTTTTTAGTTTTCCTTTGGATTTTATGAGGTCTTTAATGTATACTTCGGGTTGTATTATTGATGTCTTTCAAGGACTTTTAGTGTAATATATAAAGTTGATTCAAATTTAACATATTTTAATTGATATGCATTTAAATTATATATATTCTATTATCCGAAGTAATTATGTAGCTTCAATGTGAAACTCGCTTATCTCATGCATATGAGATGCGTATAGAAGTATAGAATTGGTAAGGATCAGTAGAAAAAGAAGAGTAGTGAGATTGTATGAACATTTCCGGCATTTCTATGGGACAAGTGCCGGAGTTAGAATGTAAATCTTGGCATCCTAAAGCCCTGTTGGGATCACGGTCCACGATAACGGTCACATGACCTTCCTCATGTGATCGATGGCTGGACCCACACACAGCTCTCCTCACTTCGTAGATCTCCCGTTCTTTCAACGTAACATCAACCAATCAACATCAATCATTTTTAGTCTTTCCAATCTTTTTATTTCCTTAGTTATGTAATATGTGTATAAACATCTAACCCTTGTCAACAGGCTCGCTCCTCGCTGCTTATCGTACTATTAAGTCCCAAAATTTTTTTTTTTTAGCTTATCTACCATCATCATAGACGTTTTACGAAGCTGAAGTTGCCGAGCAAGAAATGGCTGATAGAAATAATTACACTTTCGCCGTTTGATGTGCTGTGTCAACTATCCTTAGCTGATCTCTAGCTAAGTAACGCGGCGCTAAGCTGCAGTTCCTAATTGGTATTGAGATTATCGATGCAGTGTTACGTTGGAGAAAGTATGCCTTTCCCAAGAAGGATTCTATAGAAAAACGGGCGTCTAATGCTTATAGTAACCCTTATAGTAACCTCAAGTTTTCGGTCCCGATACTATGGCGCAGTGGTGTATTACATGTTGGCAAATCCCTGCTAGCCAAAGATGCCTGTAGCAAATCATGCAGGCTGGCAATGGTATATGCTGACAGGGGAATCACTCGTGTATATAGAGCCTTACATTCTACTTAACTTCGGACAGCAAACCTCAGCGTTGCCCTAAATGGGAAAATGCTGAGGCTTATGGGATTATATCACATATCAAGGAGGAAAGTTGCATTAGCTCAACAGTTTATCTATTCTACGTTAATTTTTGTCTTCCTGTATTCATGGCCCCGGAGCTTATGCAGCCAACTGCTACCAAAAGGAAGCGACCGAGCCGCATGAAGCATGGGCCAGCCTTTGAATTCCTTATCGATACCGCTACTACTCAGCACGGGGATGCAAGGACTATTATCAGACGGCAAGCCGCGAGGTCGGGGCGTCGAGCGCAGCTGCGGATAACTGATGGCCAGGAGCATGGACGATATGTAGGAACAGCTGATACTTTAATACGACTAGAGCGAGAGGTGCTGGTGGCCGGACCAGCCACGCAACCCTCATTGAGTGGATACGAGACTAGTAAAGCCATCTACAACTTCGATATAACGACTCTTGATAGTTTTATCAATGTCGACCTTGCTATACACGCTTACCGATTATTACAGGGCAGCGTGGAACGCCCTCTTACATTTCTCCAGAATGCGTCTTCTTCATCTTTCCTCGCTTGCCTACCGAGCCGCTATGGGTCCAGCCCCTTTTTAGACGATGCCGTACATTGTGTAGCCGCGAGAGCTGCTCAGATGCTTGGATATTCGGCGCCATCGTCTGTACCTTCTGTACTCTACTCCAAGGCACTGAGAAGTCTAAGTCGCAATATACAATCCGGTTCTTGGTCTGATGTCTATTGCGCTACACGGCTCTTAGTACTCTACGAGGTGAAAGCCATTCGACGCTCTTTAATACCGTGCATCGATATTAACAGTGCGTCGTCTTAGTCACTAGGTTGCCCAGATATAAATGCTTTAGCGTTCCATAACGGAGGTGGTATCGATCTGCTTAGGCGTAGAGGTCCTCCTCCTGATTCTGCCCATTTTGACTGCATGCTTTTGAAGAGCCAAGGGCCCTACGTGGTTTGTCCGATGCTTGCCATCATTGCTATCCTAAGTGTATTATCCCTGCTAACTGCTTGGCAGCTAATATCAGAGATGCACAAGAAAGAGTCTTCCATGTTTGAAGCTCAAGAATGGCAGGACTTCTTTGGACGCGCCGCATGCAGGGAAACGAACGTGGATGCCCGATTTTGGTGGAGATTCTTCGGAACCAATTGTTTCCTGCCAGGGATATTGAAGGATGTAGGAGTCCTCTTATCCGAAGTCGCATTGGGCCCCTTTGAATACTCATCGAGTAGCTTGAATATTCTCAACCGAATAGAGAAAATGTATCGAGCATTGGATGATATTCACAAAGAATACCAGCACTTTTATGTCACGGAACCCCAGTCGTCGCTGTGCGACCTGCCGATCTCCGGTCGTGTCGAGTCTGCGGATCGAACCAGACTTCGCCACTTCCTCCAGTATCCAACCATGCTCATCTGCCGTCTTCGAGCCACTCTTTCCCTAAGCGAAGCAGATCGTGCTATGGGCGAAGAGGAGGCACAAAGGTTTGCAGCCCGGACTTTACTCATCGAGAAGATGGCAAGGGCTGTGGACCCAGTTATGGCCTGGCAACTAGCGCAGAGGAATAACTTACCATATTCTATAGTACGCACGAGGGAGGACTGGCTTTCAATCAATGAGCGTGGGGAGAACTGGGAGGAATTAAAGACGTTCCTTAAACAGCGGTGGTTAAAGTGGGAATATTATTGGGAGGACGAGATTTTAATTAAAGAGCTGGGACAAGTTCCTATCGAAGAATGAAAATTTAACTCGTTTTATATCATAAATTCATTAGCATCTTTACACATCGTTCTTTATCCTATGGAAAATCTCTTTTCCATCAAGTCAAGCTGCATTGGACATGACCCTCCCATAAAACCATCAAGAAAGCATTCTCCTATGAAAGTCCAACCTTCCTCGTCATCGGATCGTCGCCGTAGTAAGACAGGAACGCTACAACCAGATAACACGCAAACTAGATCACCTTTCATTGCCTTGTCCGGGGCTAAGCCGATATGTCCATTGCGAGTAACCATGAGACGGAATGACATTCTCACGATGGTATCGAAGAATCTATTGAAAAATGTATCCATTACGGACTCGTCTCGATTTGGAGCTGCTACGGATAATAATGAGTTGATGATGTCTATAACTTCACTGCTGTCCCGGACAACACTCTCAAAGTTGTGTCCGTGGATCCGGAGGGATTTTGTCCCGTCAAACCACTCCTGGAACTCCTTGGGTACGAGAGGTGTTGTTGATTCTACATGAATGAGATGTGCACATAGCCACATGAAGTCCCCCAAGAAATCTTCGACGGGCATAGCGATTTGTAGATATCGATCTTTTCGGTCTAATGCCAAACTTCTACAGACGCTTCTTAGGATATCTGATGATGAGCATGCCCCTAGCTCGGCACAGCCTGTTGGGAGTTGCGGGGAGTTTACTGCGGAAGAACTTTGGACCAACTCGGTACTCCTAGACCCGGCCAATCCATCAACCGTATCTAGGACAGTTCCGTGAACGAGAAGTTTCAAGCCTTCAAATCTATACACAGCCGCACTATTACTGGAAGCAGCGTAGCGAGGAGAAGCACTACTAGGCTCATCAAATTTTCGAGGAGGTCGGAGATTTCCGATATGGGTCCTCGCACTTTGACTGACCATTAATGGAAGCACCAGAGGATCTACCGTTACTCGCCAGTCAGGCACCCAGGATGGTAGCAGAGAGTCAGGTGGAGCGCGGTAGAGGGATGCGAAGCATATGATATCCAGGGACTTATAGTGCTCAATAAAAGATTTCGTAAAGCGCAGGTAGACTTCTTCTACACCAAGGGAGTAATCGACGTTTAGAAGGAAGGCATCGGTGGCGAGTGCCCTGATACCGTACAGTCGATCTCTGTCGTCCGCGGCCTCGAAACACGAACTGTAGGCAGCCAACGCTACAAGAGACAAACTAACCTTATTAGCTCCCGGATTCTGTTTTCCAAGATCATATAACCTCCATACTCTTCTTCGATTCCATGCGTGACGAAAGGTAGGGATAGACTTGAATGTGAGAGCCGTACATTGGTCCCCAGCCATCAGAGCACCCTCAACAGCGATCCTACTGACGCTTCGTGTTCCATACCAGAACAAAACACATGTGGATATTGCATATTCTTGCAGAGTCCAAATCCTAGTCCACCACCTCCGCCGGAAGAAATTCGTGAGTGCAGCCCAATGTGGGTTATAGTGATCTTGCTGAAACATGCTACGGATTTGTTCGGTACTGTAAATTTGTTGTCTAATAACTTTGTTAAGAAGTTCAATAAAGTCCATTGCACAGTCGGTATCGTCCGACTCCTCGCCCAGCCAACAGATCACCTTATGGGCATCATGATAGATTCTCCCCATAAGCTGCACCTGCTGAACCCTCTCCTCTAAATTTTCCAAGTCGATGCAGATTGAATCAATCCACCACCACACATCGTCGAACAGAGCGCCTTTCAAACTCAATGCGTGGAAGAAAGGCCGTAGTGAATCGAGGACTAGGAGCTGCTTTTTCTCGATTTCAAGGGCATAATTTCTTGCAGCACCTAGATTATCGGACAGCCAGGTGTAAGAGAGGGCATGATAGGGGGGAATAGGCCCTCGAAGGGAGAAAGTGTGGAGAATAGCGGATGTGTGGTCACCATTGTGAGAAAATTTAATCAATCGCACCTGGTTGTGCTGGATCGGCTTATATATAGAAGTCATGGTATTGACATTAAAAATGCACCGTAACGCAACGAGTCTTTGACGGCGAAACTTTTCGCTTAAAGACCTTAAAAAGTAATCCTATGGGTTGAATTTTACAATTTGAGTATAGCCCTACAATGCTTAATATATGTTAGAGTATAGGTAAGAGGCTGCCTTGAGCCCCTCAATCCTTTAGCGTCTACCAGAGGTTACCCCCTGGTCACTCCTCAAGGAAATCCTCTCAAGTGAGTTATAATGTTACCCCGTGTGTACATTGCTTCAATGTACTTATTTCTGACTAAGTCTATTTACATATCCCACTTGAACTCCAGCCAATAAAATAAGTATAAATTCAGAAATATCGTATCATTACCGAGCCCTCCTGGAGAAAGTGGAAAATCATTGTTTTTCACATAGGGAGGCTCTCGGTTTATCTGACATCTACAATGTAACGAATTTCCAATTGTCCTACTAGTCAGGTGTGGGCTATCAAAAGGTGTTGTATCCAAATCTCTCCTCCCTGTAGGCTCTCTCATCGCATTCGGACGTGCTGTCATAAGCGCCGTAGCCATCTTCTTCGTCCTCTGTTTCGTCTGAACTATCTCCATCCTCACTGTCTCCGTCTTCCTGCTCGCTCTCGTTTTCGTTCTGCGACTCCATAGCGTCATCATCTTCATCTTCCTCATCATCCTCATCACCTTCTTCCTGCTCGCTATCTTCTTCCTCACTATCAGTTTCCACGGATTCATCATCTTCATCTTGAATGCCATCTAATAGCTCATTTTGGCTCTGGCTTTGAGCTGTTACTATCGACAGATCTGTTGGATACGGCTGCTGGTCAAACTTGGTCAGACTAGTATCCGATAGGTCTTGTTCTAGTGCGATTTTTCTTACTCTAAAATTATTCTTTTTAGTATCGTCATCGTTATTGTCTCCGATACCACCATCACTACTAATATGACGACTGAAAATTTCGAAAATACTGAATACAGAAGATGCAACATCGTAACCGCTGCTTGCAGTAGCGTTGGCTGTCGGCGATTATTAGTATATAATAACAGAACCAAAACGAGGCAAATAGATTCAAAACTTACCCAAAGGTCCATGCATCATCGTCTCCCAGTGATGGTGAATGTTTTGTTTTATTGACACAAGACACTTTTTAAGTTCTTCCATGTAGAATTTGTCAGTAGTGGATAACAAGAGCGTCGTTAACTGTTCAAGATCTTGTGCCAAGGCCGGAACTATGGCTCTTTGCCGCATGTCTTGTAGATACGTGAGCCTCTCCTCTTCCGATAACATTTGAAGCGGATCACTGCTGGACAGGAGGCCATCACTGTGAAAAAAAAGGAAAATTGGTTAATGAACAGGTACTACTAGCGGTATTAACAATAACATACATTATGTATAAGAGGAGCAAAGTGTTGGTTCTCTGCAAATATTCGGCTAGTTGTCTTCCCAGCTCTTCCACGGGTTCAATGACATTCTTTTCCATATTTACTACTTGTAACTCGGCGAGAGCCTCATCAGCAGTACTGAATTCGCAACTCCTCCGTAAGTGAGGCATGTATGGTGCGAGAGTATTATGAAATGAAGGAAGGGGCCGCAGTACTGCTTGGATCAGCATATCGATTTCTAGAGCGAATGGAAATTCCTGGTTCGTCAGCACTGTCGAGCAAGCGATGATCCCTTTGAGCGTGGTTTCTAGACTAGAACAAAATTCCTTTTCTGACTCCCACACTGTGGTTAGCTCATTGCTCTCCGTTTGACAGATTTCTATCGCTGAAGCGATTGTAGAGAGAATCTCAACGCAAATGGATTCAAAGTCGTCCATAATGAAAGAAACCCAAACTAAAATGCAATAATTATGAAATTGATAGGGATAGATAGAGTGGAACGATAATTATTGTTCTAGGATGATAATTTGTTAGGAACGTCGAAGTTCTTCCTTTTTATTCTCCACGGATATGTTGGTATAAAGATGTCATTGATATCTCACGACGGAGGCCCTCGGTATCGTGAAATTTATTTCAAGATATATGCACCGCCTCCTGTGCTACAGTCGACCTATTACCTCTTCCGTATCTACTTTCAGATTTAAGATATATAGCCGCATCACACATACATGTAAAGGTGCGTCTCACCCCTTGATGATACATTTGTTACATTTGCCGCTGATGGGAAATCAACCGTAACTCGTTGCTATCGACGAAGGATGCCAAGGGGTAGAAAGTCCTAGTTGGCCGCGGAGCTGCTCAATGATCAGTCTAATTCATGAGAGGCCCTTGTCCTGTGATCGCAACGATGGTGGCTATGAAGACCCTGATACCTAGCCGCCGACAGTAATTAATCCCTGTGTGAGATACGCCCGTCTGACTAGTTACTTATTAATAACTGAATAATGAATATTCTACTGCGGCTGTGTACCGCTTTAGAGATCTTGTTGAAGTCACCTTTACACTCTGCAGTACAATCAACACATGTACTCTAACAGCTCTTGGCATAAGTGATCCCCATAGTATGACAGGATTGCTCACACTATTCTCAAAAGGGGCAACACTCGGGCATACGCAGACCGCCATGCATGCATGCAACGCTGACCCCGAACATGCAGGGGTTGGTTACTCGGGGCTTACTTTTAATCCAAGAGCCACTGCGAGGCTCGCGGACGAACATGTAAATGGAAAAAGTCCGTTGTAAGCACCATCCTCTAATACGCATACCTTGTATCAGACAGTGCTTAGGCTCGAGGAATAGGCCAGACCTCATATTTGCGACGACAATTGTTTTGTCAAGTCGAACATATTATCTCGAAAAGAGGCCGTGAAATTGGTTGCATACCTAGATTAGGTACTTACTATAAATAGATATTATTCAAGTAACTCTTTAAACGCTTCTAACTTCATGCTTTCAAGGTGCACTTGAACCAAACTTGGAAAATTGTCAAAAGATTTGGACACCTATATGAATAATACATCATGTAAGGAATTGATATATAAAAAGGGCTATTATCCCTCTTGCGAGCTGAATTGGTCTCCCAACTCGTAGCACCATACTTTATTTCCTCTCTCATATCCCCTTGCTTTATCAAACATTCATCTTGTACTGGTGAAGGCGCTAGCAGCACATCTATCGCTCTGGTCGGGAAAGTTCAAAGCTACAGATGATCTAGATGCATGAACCTCTAAGCAGCTAATATTTCGAGATTATCTTTGAAACCCCAACTTTCAGCCTCATTCATAACTTCAGTTGAAAGAAAGACCTTAGTTTGGAAAGGCGCAAAATGGAGAACCATGGGTCTATCTCAAACATTTCTAACCCAGCATCCTTCAACCGGGTTTTCAACCATTTCAGAGAGTATCCCCCCCTTCCTACGGGATACAACTGGGAAACGCAGAAGCAACAGTATTGCCCGCGCGATCGCGGGGCTAATTCACGTATGTGGGACACATCACACGTCCACCAGTTCGGCTACGTCTTTTGCCATCGCGGGCTTTACGAACGTGCTTCAAGATTTATTGACAATTCAAATTCGGCAATCAAGAATGGGTTGCGTGAGGGCTTTTTCCTCCAAGAGGTTGATGTCTTTCCAGGGAAGAAGATAAAGGACGGATTTCTAGCCCATGATCAAACTGCGAATCGCGTCACGTCTAAGAAGGGGTCATGGAAGTCTTATCCTGCTCGTGAGATTTTTGAGACAACCCTTGTGTCAAGGGTAGTTGATATGCTTTTCTATCCTCGCGATCAGATCCTGGAAAAACACCGCGAAGCGAATCACGTCAAACCAGAAGACCTAGGAGATCTAGACTTTGAGAGCACTTACTTAGACACGTACGAGAAAGTGCCCAGGCTAGAGAGCACGATTCTTAAAACAAGAATCAAAGACATTGGCCTCACTCTCCAATTGGATCTGAGGAACGACGATTTTGCGACGGGAATTGCCCATTACATTTTCCATCTTGCGAACAACGGTATTGAAAACTCACCCTCCCGAGTCAGGTTTACCCCTGCGTGGGATTTATTCCGATCAACAATGCTCAAGGGCTACAATAAGGAATTTAACTCTTTCGAGCATCTCGTCCAGACGATAAAGAAGAAGTCTAAAGAAGCGTACGGAGTAGACGTTTTTAAATTGGAGTTCTTACACCAACTTCCGCCCTTGATCATGGTGTTTTACTCAGATTCGGTAGTCGAGCTTGCGGAAAATGATCCGCTAGAGGATGATTCAACAAGAAAGAGTTACAAACATATTCATGACGTCTTTAAGAAACATGTTTCGTCCTTCATCGGCATCGGTAAAGAGTCTTACAATTTCATACTTGAAATCACTCACAGCGGTCTTGGCCTACTCTACGACGTAGAGACCGGAAAGGCAAGGAATCCTTTGACTGGAGCCCCTCTTAGAGACGAAACAGTCGTTTTTAATAGCCTCGTAGACCGAGCTATGATTGATGTCAGCTTGGAGCTGAGGCGGGAGCATCCGGACCTTCTATTCTGCTCGTGTACACGACTACCCGACGTCATCGCATCAGATCAGAAATATAAAGCACACCATCAGAGCGGAAATATGGTAGGCTGGGAACGAAATGAGGAGAAAGGACTTGCAGCTAAACTAAGAGCCATACACGGAGGGTTGTACCCGCAATCAAATATCGCCGTGGCTGATGACCCGATAGCGGAGATCGCTGTACGCACGTGGATCGACCAGAACTCAGCTCTGGATCGCAGCGAGTTACTACAAAAGCCGTACTACGAATGGCTTCGACAGGCCGGGACAGAGGTTTACGACGCCGTGAATAACCTGAACGGTGACTTTTTACCGAACAGAACTGGGGACCCCGTGGATTCAACGCCGACAAATCCGGGCACCAACAGTATAAACCTCGGTAGTCCGCCAGATTCGACAGAAAGAACCCGATTATGGCGCGACGATGTAAACGATATAGCTCAAAGGGAAAGTCAACTTACAAACGTGGATAATGAAGACAGCCAAGCCGAGGAGGAAGGTAGAGAGGATGACAGCGTGCTAACCAGCGACGTCGGTGTAAATAATCCATCTACTACGTCAGCCGATCTACAGCAAGAAACATACGACGTTGCAGCTTACAAGGCAGCCGAGCATGGCAACGATGAGGTCCTCCAGGAGTTAATTTTTAAGGGCGCCGATATCAACGCGTCGACAGGATTCTTCGGAAGCGCTCTAGCAGTGGCATGTGCAAAAGGCCATTACGAAACTGTTCAGATATTACTAGACAATGGTGCCAATATCAACGGCCCTAGGAATGGGTTTTGCTGCCCACTTCAAGTCGCGTCTCACGAAGGCCACGTCGACATTATCCAGTTATTACTGGACAAGGGGGTCGATATCAATGCCTCGAATAGTATATACGGCACTGCACTGGCGGACGCATGCGCACAAGGTCACGAGGATATCGTCAAGTTACTGTTAGCTAGGGGTGCCGATGTCAACGCTCCAACAGGATCCTCCAAGAGTCCGTTGGAGGCTGCATGTATAATGAATCATGATACCATCGTCCAACGACTGCTGGCTGCAGGCGCCGATGTTAATATCCCGATAAACCAAATAGTCGGGTCCCAGTTCGGGCTTCATCTCAAAAAGCCCGGAACAGGAGTCAATGTCGATTCTCAATTGAGAGCTGGTGCAGACATCCGGAGACGGGCATGGGCATGGGAAATAAAACACCCCAAAAGATTTGGGGCAAAGAAGCCAACTGCGATACTTTCTCGACACATGCATAAGTGTTGGACATTGATCGAACCTCCACCGCTCAACTGTGGTTGTTTTTTTTGTTTGCCTTAAGTTTACTTAAGGTTTTGTGTCAAGAGATTTTTAGTATGCTAGAGGTAGAGCTTTGTTAGCCTTGCATCTCAGCCTTGCGCTAGTTATCTCAGCCTTACGCTAATGGGTTTTAAATTAATAAAAATTAATTAAAAATATTTTATAAATATATTATTTATTTTTTAATATATTTTAATTATTTTATTATTATTTTATAATATTTTTAAAATATTTAATTAAATTTATATATATTATTAATATTTAATAAATTAAAAAATTATTATAAAAAATTAATAAAATAATTAATAAATATTATATAAATTAAAAAAAATTATTTTATTTTATTATATTAAATTTAAAATAATTTATTAATTTTATTAAATTTTTATTTTAAATTAAAAGATTTTATTAATATATATTTTTATTAATTTTATTTATTTTTTATTATTTATTTAAATAAAATAAATTTAAAATAAAATTTATTATTTATATTAAATAAAATAAAAAATTATTATAAAAAATAATAATAAAATTAATAAAAAAATAAAAAATAATAATAAATATTATATATATAAATTAATAAATTTTAAAAAATNTATTTTTAATTTATATTTTAATTTATAATTTTATTTTATTTTATTTAATTTAATTTAATTTAATTATAATATAAAATTTATATATTTTATTATATTATTTTTATTTAATTATATAAATTAATTAAATAAAAATTATATAATTATATTTAATTTAAGTACTATAAAATATATATATATATAATTTAATAAATTTATATAAAAATAAATATAATATTTATATAACTTTTACATAACTTTTAATTATAATTAAATAATATAATTGTTATTTAAATAAAATCCTTTTTATTATTAATTTAATATTGTTTTTTATTATTATATTTTATTTTATATTTTATATTTTTTTATTTTTTTATAATAATTTTTTAATTTATTTAATATAAATAATAAATTTTATTTTAAATATATTTTATTTAAATAAATAATAAAAAATAAATAAAATAAAAAATATATATATTAATAAATTTTTTTAATTTAAATAAAGGTTTAATAAAATTAATAAATTATTACAAAGTTAAAATAATATAATATAATAATATAAATTTTTTAATTTATTAAATATAAATAATAAATCTTTTTTTTTTAAAAAGAAATTAAAATAATTAAAAATAAAAACATAAATTAATAAATTGAATTTTAAAAAATAAATTATTAAAATAAAAATAATAAAAATAATAATTTTTAATTTATTATTTATAATAAATATATTAAAAAAATATTATAAAAAATTAATAAAATAATTAATAAATATATAAATAAATAAAATTATATTATTATATTATTTTAATTTATTTAAATAATTTATTAATTTTAATTAAAATTATTTAATAAAAATATAAAAAAAATATTATTAAAAAATTAATATTTTTAATAATATAAATAATAAAAAATAATTAAATACTTTAATAATAATATAAAATAATATTAAAAATACATAAATAATATATTTATAAAATATTTCAAATTAATTTTAATACTTTAAAATTATAAAAAAAAAATTAAAAAATAATAAATATTATATAAATAATATATTTAAATTTTTTTTAAAATATTTAATTAAATTTAGTTATATTATTTATAAAATTTTTATTTAATAAAAAATTATTAATATTATTTAAATTTATTTAAAATTAATTTAAAATAGTAAAATATTTTAAAATATATTAATTTATTTAAAATAAAATTTATTATTTATATTAAATAAATTTAAAATATATTATAAAAAAATTAATAAAATAATTAATTAAAAAATAAAAAATAATTAATATATATATAAATTAAAAATATTTATATTAATATATTATAAATTAAATATTAAACGTATAAATTTTAAAAATAAAAATAATATTAAAATTATATATTAAATATTTATCTTAATGTGTTAAAACTAAAGATTCGAAAAGCGGGCTTCGTTTTCCGCCTTTTTTTTATTAACGCCACAGGCGCTATAAAACCCTTAATCCATATATTTATATTTATGGGTTGTAAAAAAAGCGTTCCTTAAATTCTAATCTTAGCCGCTATTTAACATTTTAGCCATACCTAATACACATTTTAAAATTTTAATTAAACTTTTAATAAAACTATATCGATAATAATACGATATATAATAATAACGTTTAAAATACCTTCTATTTTAATAACTCAAGGCTAATTTTTTACTTTCGCTACTTTTTTATCTTTTTTACATACTTATACGGCATTGTGTTATAATATTATAAACCTTAACGTTTAAATAGTTTTAATACGCTATACCCACACGCTTACACCCACTACTACTTACAACCACTTATAACCATGTTTAAAATATTTTCTATTTTAATTATTTAAAACTAATCCTTTACTTTTGTTACTTTCTTATCTTTTTTACATATTTATACGACATTACGTTATAATATCGTAAACCTTAACGTTTAAAAATACGTAATAACTTTAAAACGATATACCCACACATTTACACCTATACATTTATACTTACAACCACGTTTAAAATACCTTTTATTTTTTCGAAACTATTTATTTAATTACTCGTATTTTTTAACCCTTTTTTTATGTTTATATAATATTGTGTTATAATATTATAAGCTTTAACGTTTATTACGGCTATTATATTATAACTAACGTTATAACCGATATTATAATTAATTTCGACCTAAAACGCGTACGTTTTATATATAATAACCTATTTAAATAATAAAATTAATACCTATTTTTTATATAAAGATTTTATTTATTATAAACACATTAAAATAAATATTTTTAATTAATTTTTTTAATTAATTTAATTATTACTATACCAAATAAAAAAAAAATATTTAAATTTACCTTAAATTAGAAATTAAAAAATAGTTTAAAAAAGTATACCAAGGTATAATTAGTTAGGAAAAAATATGGTTAAAAAAGGTACTTCCCCTCAAACCATTTCCAATTTTTAATCTAAGTTCGTTAAAATAAATTAAATATATAATTTTTTTAAAATATTTTTTTTAAAAATTTTAAAAAATATATATTAATAATTTTAATATATAAATATAATTATAATTTAATAAATTTTAAATAAAATTATTAATAATTAATTTAAATTATATTAAAAAATTTATTAATTTATAATTTTTTAATTATAATATTAATATTATTATTTTAAAATTAAACCTTAATTTTATATTTATTAATTATTTTATTTATTAATTTATTTAATATAAAAAAAACTTTTATTTTTAATTATAAAAATTAATAAAATAATTACTATATGTATAATTATATTTATATAAAATAAATTAAAAATTTTTAAAATTTTTTTATAATTATAAATATTAAAAAATAAATATTAAAAAAATAATAATATTAATTATATTATAAATAATTTTTTTAAAATATTTTTATATAAAATTTTAAATTAATAAATTAAAATAATAAATTTTTATTTTAAATTATTTTTTTAAATAAAAAAATTTATTTATATTAAATAAATTAATAATAAATTAAAATTATTTATATTTTTTAATATTAAAATATATAAAAAATTATTAAAAATTAAAAATAAAATTTTTAATTATATATAAATTAATATTAATTTAAATAAAATTTATTATTTATATTAAATAAATTAAAAAATTATTATAATAAATTTTAAATTTTAAAATATTTTATTATTTTTATTTATTAAAATAATTTAATAATTTTATGATATAAATAATAAATAAATTTATATTTTATAATTAACAATATTTTTTAATTTATTTAAGAAATATTTTTTTATTTAATTTTTTAATTAATTTTATATTTAAATATTATTTAAATATTTTATTTTTAATTTATTATATTTAAATAAATATATATAATTAAATAAAATATTAAATAAAATATATTATAAAAAATAAAAATAAAAATACAGTGGGTTGAAAAAATAAACGTCAAATAGGTATATAATTAAATGTATATAAATTTAAAATTTATATATATATATTTTTAATTAAATCGATAAAAATATAATTTTTATATATTAAAATAAGTTAATTAATATATTAAATTATTTTATTTTTATTATAATTTATAAATTAAAATAATTATATAAAAATAAATATTAATAAAAAAATATTTTTAAATAAAAAATATTTAAATTAAATATAATTAATTATAAAAATAATTAATTAAAATAAAAAAAATATACATAATTATTTTAATTTAAAACAGTTTTTAACATTATTTTTATATTATTATAATTTATATAATTATTATTATAACTTTAAATTTTTAAAAAAAACTTTTAAAAATGGGTATATTAAAATGATTTTATATATAAAATCAATGTTTTTTAAAAAACATTTATTTTAACATTTTTTAATTATTTAAATAAATTTTTTTAAATAAATTTAAATATATTATTGTATGTATTTTATATTTATTTAATTTATTTAATTTATTTAATTTATTTAATTTATTTAATTTATTTAATTTATTTAATTTATTTAATTTATTTAATTTTAATATAAATTATTATAATATATATTATTTAATATAAATGTATAAATATAATAACTTTTACTATAAAAAAACCATTTAATGTTTATTTTTTCGAGTTATTATATTATTAAATAAATAATATAAATATATAATAATAATTTTATACAATAAAATAAATATTTAATAATATATAAAAATTTAATATAATATTTATTTAATACTTTTATTATTATTTATATAATTTTTTTAAATATATATAATAATATAATTATTAAAAAATTAAAAATAATAATAAATATTATATATAAAAAAATTTAAATATTAAATTTTATATTATTTTAATTTTATATTATTATTATATATATATAAAATATTTTTATAATATTAAAATTAATATTTATAAT